TACCTCGTCTGTGACCGGAGATACTGTCGACTGCGATGTCAGGGAAGTCGGACGACCGAGTTCTGGGCTTGCGGTCGAGCCATTCTCAAATCTTGCAAAGGGCTGGGCTCGGGATTCTCCGGTCGGGAAACTCCGATCCAGAGATCGTTTGGGGCTCCAGCTCGGGGACTCGCGGTTCCGTTCGAGATGCTCATCATCTTGTGAAAGAGCATTCCGGAGCCCAGAGCTACGGGACTCGAATTTTTGCGGTGGACGGTTTTTCACATCTCCCATCGACAGTGGCTCTTCCAGTGGAATTTGGTTACCGGAGTCCACAGAGACCTTCGGGTTGAAAGAGATCGAAGGTCGACGAGTGTGCAGATAGCTGTCGTAGTTGTCGAGGGGGGACCCCTGCATGCCATCAGGCTTGTGCGGGAAGTTGTCGGCATCGACTGCGTGATGCTGCTCATCGTGGCGAGGGACGGAGATGGGAGGGGTCGCTGAGTGTAGATCATTTATCAAACTGCGGTCTTCATCAGTATCGTGGCGACGCGCATAATCATGAGATTGATTGGTGTGATCGCTCTCGATACCATCGCCCACTGTTGTCGCTTTCCTCCCAGCGTTTTCATTTTCCCATTTGGGCTTGTTCCGTTCATGAAAGTTCGTTTCAATCCTTAAACCAGCCAATCCACTTGCCAATCCGGCCCTCTCGTTATGTTCCATGCCCTAACGAGACGCAGAAGGCAGAAATTGTCGTATTATCAGCCGTGATGGGCTTGCAGTAGGGTTATATAACCCCCTGCTTGGCTTTTTTGTTCGATATGCTTCCCGATAGCGGTCGTTGAGGATGTTATTGTGGGGTGATGGCGTTAAAAGTGGAGACAGAACGTTTGAGATAGTGAAGTAAAGTAAGTCGTAATCGAGAAGGGGTTGAACTTGATTCTGCAAAACAAAAATCGAGATGAAACACGGTGGGTACAAAGATAGGTAGTCGGGGAGGATTAGAAAATGAGGTATTGGTCAAGTAGTCTGGTACTGGGAGGGGAAGGAAACCGGGGAAACTCGGATGATGACGAGAATACTCAAAATCACATGACTAAATAGCAGCCCTGGCCCTAATTTTCCTAGTTGGTCATACAGCATGGAATAGGGCCCCTTTGGAGAATTATGTAATTATTACATATGTATCACTTTGATTGTTTCTCCACAGTGTTTTGTGTCGTCTATACTCCGTACGGAGTTTCGAGTGCTGAAAGAGAAATTATCTATACTCTAACAGCCTGGAAACCAAAAAAATCCCAATATACTTATATATTTATTATAACAGAGTAGACAACGGCCAGTATAAGAAGCCCTAACTAGTCGGTCATTATTACCCGCATATGGGTTCAGGGGTCGAGTCATGGTTTTAACCGCGCGCAAGGGGCGCTTGTTTGGGGATACCTCCTTTTGGCTTTTGGAGGTGTGAAAGGAGTTACTATTCAGACTCGACGTCGCCTTGGCTGACATCTCTTTGTTCCCTTCTTGTTCTCCTTCTGTTTTTCGCCTTGTCGCTCTGGCAGTAATTTCTTTCTCCTTGTGTCGACCTCCGTGCTGGACCGAAGTGCAGACCAGCCCCCACCATTCTCATTCAAGGCACTGTCTCTCATTCACACCAATTCACCAAGTGCCCGCGACCCCCGGTCGGCTTTTTATTATTATTGTCTAGCATTCGTGTATTACTTGAATACAGGAGATTTGGAGGCTTGCGCATTGATTTTGTCCCGCGCTTGTCTTCTAACATTCATATTCTTCGATCGCTAGTCACTCCTTGCGCTCACGACTTGTTTCAATCCCATTTCTCTTGATACCACACTCATTTACACTGCAACATGACTAGGCCTCAGATGATCCGAGCTGGTAGGTCAAATGTTTCTGGCGTGAGGCCAATTGGCTCGAATTTGCAGGTGTTGACCGCCACCTCTAGATACCTTGGACCTTCAAGATCACGATACCCCTTCCGCCAAAGATCATACCAAACAACCCGAACATCCAGATCCTCTTGGGAGCGGCCGGCCTGCTCCCCATCAAGAACTTTCTATTCACCATGCCGAACAAGATTTGCAAGCGGAGGTAAACGGCGGACCTGACAAAAATCACGAATACCGCGGTGACAAGGAAGTGTATCGAGAACCAGATGACGAGGAGGACGATGAGGATGAAAATCAATACGACCATGAAGATGGCGACCTAGCAGACGGCGAAAGCGACGATATGATGGACGATGATATGATGGATAAAATCTCTAGTTCGCCCTCTATCGATGATGGTATGGACTCTCAGGGATTATGCACATGAACCGGACGTTAGCTGATGTTATACAGAGGATATCGATTTTGAGTTTGTATATGCGCTTCATAACTTCGTCGCAACGGTCGATGGGCAAGCAAATGCTGCAAAGGGTGATACTATGGTTCTTCTCGATGACAGCAACAGCTACTGGTGGCTTGTGCGCGTGGTGAAAGACGGTAGCATTGGTTACCTTCCTGCGGAACACATCGAAACACCAACGGAAAGGCTTGCCAGATTGAATAAACACAGAAACGTGGATCTGTCTGCGACCATGTTGGGTGACAATAATGAAAAGTCGAAGAATCCTCTGAAAAAGGCTATGCGCCGTCGGAATGCGAAGACCGTCAACTTCGGCGCCCCGACGTACATCGACGCCTCCGACGTCGACTACTCAACGGATGATGATTCCGAACACGGTGACTTTTTCAACGATGATGAGACTCTGGACGGAGAAGAGGAAGATGGGCAAGAGCAAGCTGAGGATATTGTCGTGGAACCTCTTAGGCCCAAAGCCCAGAAAGAAACCCCCACAGAGCATGCCGATGCAAACGTCTCAGAGAAGCAAGATTTGCAGCGTTCGAGCTCCGACAGACGCCCGTCTAGTGAAGAATTCTTTGAGGCCGAAGGTAAACACACTCAACTAAAATGCTCTCAGATCGTATTTGGAACTCACTTTTACAAAGCAGAACCCACCGTCAGTAGATCCAGAAATGGCACTGTACGGAACACCGATTCCTTCTTCAAAGACGACACGGCCGAGCCCAAGAAGATTTCTCTCACACCAAATCTCCTGCGCGATATTCGCGATGAAAGCAGTACAAACACCTTGGCTGAGTGGAAAGAGGTATGTTTCCCATCGTGGGTTTATCCGAAAATCGGTTGGCTAACATTTTGGTGAAGCCTCGTGGGAGCTTTGAATCGATCGAGAAGGGCTCTAACTCACAGGATAAAATCAAAGAGAAAGAAGAGAAGAAGCGAAAAGACAAGAAACCCGGGATGCTCAGCGGGTTGTTCAAGCGCAAGAAGAGCAAAGATGACATTGATGATCCAGAAAGATCTTCTGCAGACTCGGCATCCCGCACATCACCCCAACCCAAGACTTCGTTGGAGTCTGTCTCATCAAAGTCTTTGTCCCCCGAACAACAGAGGCCCTCCAAGCCCCAGAAAAGCTCGAACAACAAGCTACACAAGCAGCCCCCAGGAATCATGAAGGTTGATCCAGTCCTTGATCCTACGATGGCCGAGTTCGCCAGGGGCAACGAGGCCATTAACCAGAGTCAAGGCAACAAAAGCATTCGACAGGTGCCACTGCAAGAAGAAAGAGAAAGCAGCTACGAAGACTGTGACATTGTGTTACAATCGCCTATCAGCCAATCGAGTCCTTCCAAGGACCCCTTTGCTACTCCGCGTGAATCCATGGATCCCCTGGAATCGCCTGTTGACCGACCATCTAGTGAAGCTCAATGGAGAGGACCCGATGCCCCAGGCCACACGACGACTGGACCCGCGCCCGTTACATCTCCACCCCAGAAATCTGTCCCTACGCTGGTGGCTGGAGATGAGTCGGAGTCGCCTGTCAATGTTTCTCCTGTGGAGGCTTATTCCCCAATGAGCGCTCGCGGCTCAACGAATAATGCCTCTCCTCGAGAAGTACGCTCTCTCTCGCCACCATCCCCACCATCATCACCTGGACAGGACGTTAATTACCTCAAGGGTAGCACGGCTGCCCCCGCCTCGGTCGACACCCTTTCTGTGGACACCCCAACGTGGAGCGACTCCAGTCTACGATCATACATGGACGAAGAAAACGACATTCGCGACTTGTTTATCATTGTCCATGACAAATCAAATGTACCTCCCGCTGGCCCTGACCACCCAATCACAGGTCGTCTCTTCAAAGAGGAAAGCAAGAGACTCAAGGAGATGAACAATCAGCTTGACGATATGCTTGTGAAGTGGATGTCACAGCGGACTAACAGCTCGACCTCGACCCGTGGCATTTAGAGTCCAGTGTAACCAAGTGTGCATGAATCTTTTGAAACTAAAACCATGTATTGATAGGCGGACCGCCTTGCATGGCAATGAAGGCCATGATGTTTTTGAATGTGCTGGGCGCATCACTTTTGGCCGACCATTATTCTTTCCTTTCACCTTTTTTCTTTTCCCTTTCCGGATTGTGTCTTGATGCCACAGCTTGGCGCAAATTCTTGTTCTGCATTTTTCCATCGCCCTGAGGAGCGATGTGACCCCGAACGTCTAACGGCCAGCTCTATTACACCATGCTTTCCATCTTTTTCTTCGATTTTCACCGGAATACCCCGACTCATCCGTGTTCAGCTTTGTTTCTTTCACATCTTGTCATTCCAGGTCAAACTGGCGTATCTCAATACAATATCAGTTGCCGAACATATTTTCCTAAATATAAAAAATAAAAGAAATATGTATTAGAAGGTACATCCCTTCACTTTATGCAGAGAAGCAAGTGATCAATATCTGATTGGAAAGTGCATTCCAAACCTGGGAAGATCCGGAAGATCCACCTGGGCAGGGTCGTGTGGGCAGGTCAGCCGCACCATGTATAGGCCCCCTACAAGTCATCTGTCTGACATACCTTAGCTACATATAGCTACGTAAACCCCTTTTCGTGTTCCTGTTCTTGATACAAGTTTTCTTTGACGTATTCCATCATGGCAGATCCATATACTTACAACCCCCACTCAACGCCTACGCCGAGCGGGGTTGGCTACTATCCCCCAGAGGATCAGCCGCAATACCCGGCATATGACCACCAGCAGCCATACGGGAACCAAGATCCATACAGGAACCAAGAGCCCTACCATAACTCTGGATCGGAGCAATACAACCCCGGATCAGAGCCTTACCAACCCAGTCCAAATGAAAACCAACCCTATGCTCCACAACAAAGTTCATACCACCTCGCACCCGAGCCATATGGATCCTCCACCGAGAGAAGTTATACGCCGACAGGGCAGCCCGACTACCCTGGGCCAGTGACTCCGGCAGGATACCAACATGTGCAAGACAGAATCCCCGGAAACGCGGGATACTAGTGAGTAGACGGTACATACCCAACTATGAGAACCAACGCTAACACTGAACCCTAGCAACGACCATCCAGCCGGCCAGCCACGGTACACACCCCCCCGCAAGTCCCCACCCTCCCGCTGTGTATGTATCCGAGCCAGAAGATGCACAGCGCAGTGGTGAACAGCGCTCCGATACAGACACCGACACTGATCGGGGTATGGATCGTGGGTTTGGAGGCTCGCTCGCTGGCGGCGTGGCGGGCTATTACCTTGGCCATAAGAAAGAACATGGCTTGCTGGGTGCGATTGGTGGTGCTCTGCTCGGGAACTTCATAGAGGACAAAGTGAAGGATCATAACAAGCATGACGATAATAGTGAACATGGCCATGAGCACAGTGACCATCATCGCCGTCGCCGCCATCATCACCATCACCACCACCACCACGGTCATCGGAGCCATTCGAGCCATTCGAGACATAGTAGTGATAGCGGCCATAGCGGTCACAGCGGGCACTCTCATAGTTCTCGTCATACCAGCCATTCGAGGCACCGCCATGAGGACGAATACTGAGTGGATCTTGACGTCGGACAGTGTTATTTTGCCTAGGGGTTCTTTCGTTGTCCTCTTTCTCTTATCATGCTTCAATTCCAGTTTTGTGTCATGGAATATGGGTTACGGATGTGATTCCCTTTGTTCGAAACTTTGTCTCGGTTTAGAGACATGACTTCATCTTGATGTATGTCTTTTCCTTCATTTTCTTTTGTCTCAGGAAGTCTCTGGTTGATGAGTACCTTGTATACTCTCCCGCGAAGGCTCTGTTCTGAAATGTACGACATGAATCCATACCTTCCTGGTATGTAGTTAATGATCTTTATCGAATTAAACGATTATGTGTAATGAACGAATGAATTTTTGATTACATTGACTTGCAAACGAAACCTTTATTCGGGTGATCAATCCATCTTCCGGTCGGCTGGAGGTGGTGAGAGCTTTGGCTCGTGGTCATTTAATCCAATATATATATCCAGGAGATTTCTTAAGATCGGCTTGATAGCCCGTGAATGTCACTTGATCTTATAGAGGTACGATACAGTTCTTGCATCTAGTATCGTCCACACCAACCTCTTTCCCTTTCAACGTTGGATTTTCTTTCTCTTCTCTTTCGTTGTGTGCTATCTTCTTTGATGGTGAAAACAGCTATGGGCGGGTCGGAGAGTCCACATCTCAAATATCTAATTTCTTGGTTGCAGGTGCGGAGACACGACCAGAGACTTTTCGGGCGTGCCGGCGTGGAGATATTCTGCAACTTTGATCCTTGTGAAAATATGTAGAAAATGGTTATTGTAAGTGAAAATAGAGTTAATAGCCACTTTTAGGCTCCTAAGATTAATTTTCATTCTGTTGCAAAGAGAATAGTAGTATATTTTTAGTATATTTTTAGTATTCCGTAGTGTATGAAGAATCAACCTTGGAATGCTTCAGAAGATTTAGGCAACTACATACTCTACTTATGAGGTTATATGCGCCAAGAAATATACTTAATGTAAAGTGGTACGCTAGTCTAGATTAAGTCCATATATTGCGGGTAACTCCGAAATGTGGATTTCTTATAACAATCTCTATTATTAGTGTCTGGATCTGGATGTTTCTACCAAGCAACTTGCCAAACATCTCAATTAACATTAAATTCATGTGATAGCATGTGAAATATGTAGATCAGAACAAAAAAAGAATTAGTCTGAAACAAAAATCGATCTCCAATTAACTTCGTTCTGTGCTAGTGGGCGGGTGCACGGGACGTCCGGCGAGCTAATGCTACTGAGGATCTCATCCTTAACAACAAAGAAGCCGAGTTTGTTCGTAGGAGATTGTCTATGGAATTGCCAAGCTATGGCAATACCAATCCTCGCTGGTGAATTGTGATCACCTTAAGATGGTGGAAACTCTCCAAATTCTATAATCTGGAATCTCTTCAAGAGACAATACCACCATCAAGGGTCTCGTACGCAGTGTTAGTGGCTTTTTAAGCCTCTCCTCATCGGAAGAATTATCAATATAGAAGAAGTGGAGGACGAAACCCTAACATTTCGTCTCTCTATGCCTTTTGCAAAGGCCTATGGTACCTGGATCACATATTGCATGAAAGAGCTTATTATACTTCATAAACATCATCACACAATCAAGAGCCCTATATGTGCTTCCTATTTCCCACTCTATTCCATGAATGTGTAATTAGTGATATAGACTCCCAAAACAGGGTTCTGGCCTTAGGTACAGACAACTCTGGCTTTGTGCCGTATACCCTGAGCCAAACGTGTCCAGGGTGCTGTGGAAGAAAGACACTATGTTAAAGTCAAATAGTGGGGTGGCGGGAAAGACGATACTGCATGACGCGGCCATGCTCCGCTAGTTGAGCGGCTCATCTAATAGTCGCGAGATCGCCAAATCGCCCAGTCGCGCGAGTCGCACTTTTGGGAGCCCATCGATCAGACTTTTATATGTATAATGAGCCAGGAATTGAATCCTTTATTGAATTAGCCACTGGATGCTCTTTAAGAGTCACCTCTCTTGGCCATCAACCTCTAGCACAATATTTTGGTAGAAAGGAAACCAGGAAAGACTCTCGGTGTGGATATCCGCAAATTGAGGCCTAACAATAAGATGTTCCGTTTCTTCCTGTCGATCAAATTCATAGGGTCCCTTTTTTTTTCAAACGCCCCATGGGTCTCTACTTCATTTGTGAGACATAATAATGTCTAGATCCCTTTTTCAACAAGCATAATTACCTACAGCTTATTTTGCAACGAACGAGCCTTCAAACTAAGGCGTTCTAAAGTCTCTGGTTGTTCCCAGAGAGCTCTGATAGTCCTGTAGTGGAAAGGCTCACTCTAAAGCTACATTAATAACCACTTACTATCATCACCTCTAGATTTGATCATAGACATAGTTCCCAACAATCTCTACAACCGTACCGCACAAGACAAACCGACTGGAGCCTCATAATAAACACCCGTTTTTTTAAAAAAAAAAATTTAAATTTTTTTAGGCTTGATATTTCTATAGATTTCCTTGGAAGGCTCCGGTAAAATCCTATGAAACAGCCGGACAACATTTTACCGTGGCATCCTGTGCGGCGTGTTCTATCCAACCAATGGAAATATAGTGCTAGCGAAATTGCCTATCTTTTGTCTCAGACATTCTTTTTTGAGGTTAATATATCCATATATAGAAATGAGCAATATGGAGAAGATCTACTCCCCTAATCAATCGGAGCGATATAAAACCTACGTTTTCTTCGCGCAAAGGAATTCGAAAATCCGCTTGAATACTCCGCCAGCTAGCCTTGTATATCTTCCAAGATGTTTCTAACAGAAATGTTGTTTTTTGCACTAGCGATGGGCAGTGCGCTTGCTACAGCTGTCACCCCGTGTCCGGAACCAGCCCTTCGCAAAGAGTGGCGACAACTCTCTGTCCAGGAGCGGAGCGGTTATGCGAAAGCTGTCCATTGCCTGGCTACCACGCCTTCACGTTTGGGTCTGAACTCGACACTTTACGATGACTTTGCCTATGTTCACAATAAGCTGAACAGTCAAAGTACGTGCACCTCCGTTCTTATGCTTCACGCAATTACTGACTGACATCTGGATTTAGTTCATTTCGTGGCATCTTTTCTCCCATGGCATCGTTACTATGTTCACGTATACGAACAAGCCCTCAAGGAATGCGGTTACAATGGTAGCATGGCGTGAGTGGTCTTCCAATGTTCACCTCTATACTATATCTGTCACTGACTGACTTCATCTGCAGCTACTGGGACTGGACACTGGATTCCAGTGACCCTGCGCATTCTACCATATGGGATGCCCACACGGGCGTAGGAGGCAATGGTGATCCAAAGCATACAAACTTGGTAGGAAAGGACAAATATGAGTGCGTGGTGGATGGTCCTTTCAAAAACTTGCGTCCGGCATATCTTCAGGATAGTCACGCACCTCATTGTCTATCCCGCAGTTTTAACAACGGCACTGAATATATTGGTAACATGCTGGGACCCCAATATACCCCCGCTGTTATCAAAACAATCTCCAAGCTGCGAGACTTTAATTCATACCGAGTCGCTCTTGAATCAGGTCCTCATGGTGCCGTCCATTCTGCTATTGGGGGAGATATGTCCCCCGCGACATCACCGAATGGTAAGACTCGAACCTGACAACTTTTCAACAATTACTCACCACTGACTTTATTTTTTTTTCTTGCATATATTTAGACCCCATTTTCTTTATGCACCATACACAAATCGATCGTCTTTGGTGGCTTTGGCAGCAAGAAATGCCGTCTAACCGCACCTACGACTACAGCGGTATCAGGACTCAAGACAATTCCGATGGCAAAACCCCACCACCAGCCACCTTGAATGATCTTCTTCCAATGCTTGGGATGGCAAAGGACCTCCCTGTCAAACAGCTTATGAAGACACAGACTTCACTTCTCTGCTACCGGTATTGAAAGTAGGCAGCGCGTGATAGGTCTCGGAGGAGCTATCAAGAGACAGATCAATACGACTGTATTGGCCATCGGAGAGAGACCGAAGAAAAGAAGAGAGGGAGGGAGAAGGAGAGAGAGCAAACTATCTCTACAGTCATTGACTCTAGGGCTAGCAAACAGGGCCTTGTGATTTCGGTCTCAGCATCCCCAGGCTTTATCACCCAATCAAGATCCATCGATCTCTGAAAACACATTTTTTTTCTTTTATACAACTATTTTCAATTCATTCCAGGGAAATCCACGTGGCCTAGTCTAGTTATAGGAGTAACTAGGAATAACATTATCGTGACACTGTGTTTATGTTCTGGCTCTACTTTTAATACAAATCTCCATATGCACCTATTTCTAGATGTTGAAGGTGTTACGAGCAACCAAATATCTCTGTTGAAAAGATTTGTTACAGTACACAGTATATATCGGTGTCGAAAGCGGTCTATAATTCAGGCATATTAAGGCATCAACCCTACAAAATCAGGCATTTGACCTATGCCAACATCCTAGGCTGAGAAGACTGAAAACTGACTGTTCCGCAATGGCTATGGCGTGGAGCAATTCGTACTCGAGAAAAAACTTTCAAACCTGGGCTTGCATCCTAGAATCCCGTGGTCGGTCCATATATGTCCAGGACATAGAGTGAATTATGTATCGTGCATGAGATGTCTCCACTGTAAATGCGGGGACCGGATATGTACTAGCGCGTTTTGGGCCTAGAGGGGGAAACACTCGAATGCGCATTCTTGAAATCTTTTACCCTCACTCAAACAAGTCATACGAAATGGCCGCAAATACAGATGAACGGGATGAAACACGGGATATAATTGCACAGCAACTTTCTCCCACTCCCTTCGCATGCTCCTCGCTCACGCGCCTGTCTGGAGGCACAGCCAACTTTGTCTACCGAGGTACCCTTTCCTCAACTGGCCAATCTGTCGTCATCAAACACACGAAAGATCACTCGGCTTCGAACCCGGATTTTAAAATCGATGTCACAAGATGCGTTAGTCGCTGTCCATTGAACGGTCCTGCTTTGAACTATACTGATATCAAATTAGCACTTCGAGGAAGCTATCCTTCAAGCTCTCGATGGAATGGCAGTGTATACAAATGGCAAAATAACAGTTAAACCACCGCGCTTATTGGACTTCAATCGGGAAACGAATACCCAGGTTTTCGAAGACCTTCCAAATTCAATCGACCTAAAGAGCTTCCTGCTCTCGAAGGTTTCTCATGACTTGTCCGAATCCTCGGGGCGAGCCTTGGGCACAGCCCTTGGATCCTGGCTGAGATCGTTTCACCGTTGGACGGCCGAGGAACAGCAAATCGAAACTAAAAAATTGCTTGGCGAGAACAAAGTCATGAAAGATTTGAAATTCTGGGTGAACTACACTCTACTGCTGGACACCATTGGAAATTTCCCCGATATTCTAGAGGGAAGTCGTGACATTCTCGAGAAGGTTCGTGACCTTGCTGCAGCAGAGCTTGAGCAACAGAGCCACGATAATGGATATGGAGTTATTCACGGTGACTTTTGGACTGGAAAGTATGCTCTCTTGGATCTAGACTCCATGAACTGAGCCAGGTTACTGACGTGATTTCTAGTGTTCTTCTTCCAAATGTTCCTCTCACTGATCAATCTCCGACAACTATGTTCATTGTCGATTGGGAATTGTCGCAGATTGGAAGCCGCGCACTAGACTTGGGTCAAATGATTGCTGAGCTGTATGAAACAAAGCTGTTCAAAAATGTGGACGGTGGAGTGTGGATTATTCAAGGGTTCTTGGAGGGATATGGGCCCCTTGAAGATGAAATGGCATTCAGAACTGCGATCCACGTTGGTGTGCACCTGGTTTGCTGGGGAAGTAGAGTCCCTGGATGGGGCACACAAAAGCAAGTTGAAGAGGTGGTGAAGTTGGGAAGAGATTTGATCGTCCACGGCTGGAGAAAGGATAAGGCCTGGTTTGCGGAAGGCACTCTTAGTTGTCTGTTCAAGGGTTGATTCTTTTCAAGGTTATATTAGCATATTACGTATTTACAAATTGCCAGAAGAGGACGCGGAGCTGCTATACAACTGATTCCTCGGCGATCAAACGTTGCTCGTGTTCGGTATCAATAACGTCGCCCCAGAAAATGCCGTGTGATCCGATGGGTACTCTGGAATTTCTTCGCTACTCTATGAACTAAATAACTTAAGGATCGATACAAGGATTCATACTATAAACATTTGAAGGATACAGAACGGAACGAAAGAATTGACACTGATTTTCCAAGTTTTGAATTGTTTTTGGTATTTTGGGTTTGTTTACGGTATTGATGATACATCCAACTTTCCCCGCCAAATATTGCCACTTATGCTCCACGGACCGCAACGCTGTTCGCTCTTCAACACCCAAGTAGGGAGTTGATGCAGCCTGTGGAGCGCAATTACTTCTTCTTTTCCATGACATCGACAAAGACATGTCCCAGGGGACCGCTCTCAGAACTCCATCCTCCATGCTGGATGGTGTACTTGTCGCTCTTGTCCAACACCTCAACCAAGTTGGCGTGTTCTCCACCACGGTTTTCCCAGTGGAGCTCGCAGATCTTGTCATTGTCATGAAATAAGTCCAGACGGCCCTCACTGCCGCGACGGCTGCTAGCGCCGATCTCGCCAACGCCATCGGGGGAGATCTTGATTTCATCGATCTCCTCTTCAGTGAGCGACTTGCGGCGGCCGCTGGGGTCGGCGAACTCGCCGCTGCCGAGTGTTAGTAGAAGCATTGTAATTTCCTGGGATTATAAATACCCTTCAATGACAGTGTTCTGCACTAAGATCTCGCCATCTTTGATGTGGTCCCGAATGTGGAACGAGACCCACTGGGAATTGTACTTGTCCATATTGTCCATATTGGAAATCTGTGAAGTAGTTGTGTAGTTGTGTAGTTGTGATAACTGATGAAGTGTAGAAGTGAAACTCCTGGAATTCAGAAATGTCAATTCTTCATCTATATATATATATTACCCCAGAATGCGGGGAATGTGGTGATGTAATTCATTTTACACATGTTGACGGGTTGTCCACGAATGGTACGACCGCTGACAACCATTGTCCAATGACCTACCCGAACCAAAGAACCTTCCTGGTCTTTTGCGGGGAGTTACGTGCCTATCAATTCGTCTTATTGCATCACTTCGAGGCCGCGTGATTTGTAGTGTGGAGTGGCCTGATAATTGGGCAATGGACCGCATGACAATGAACCTACATGACTGAGAGGGGTCGTACCACCTCACCTGAGCATTGAATGGTTCCAAGACAATAAGGATGGCAAGGCAACAAGACTGATATAGAATAAGAGAGATGGGTCCACTAGCTTTGTCAAGTGTACGAAATCAACTGGAATTGGAACACGATAATTTGAGGTAGATCAAACACAAAGCGCCAACTAATTTGTGCCACGAAGACCGCCTTTGTTCATTTCCCAAAATAGACTAAGAAAGTCTCACGGAGGAATGGCCGCCAGTGACTTCAAACCCCTCAATACAGCAAAATTGTCTTAGCATCACTTGGTTATGTATACTCGTGCTTCGACTGTGTTCATTATCGCGCCGTGATGTCACAAGCATACCAAGACGCCTGGGCTGACACTTAATCCCCATCTTACTTATGACTGGCGGTTCTGGCAACAGTACTATAAGGTAATTCATCATTAGCATTGAAACTCGATGGACATGATATCTGAGTGACAGTGCCTAGCTTTGATATCGCACCGGCCGTTCAAGCATCCTGAAGCTATATTATCAACCCCCACACCAATCGAGAAGATCAATGTCCAATATTTAGGGACTACATCTATATAGTCACTTCCTCAGTCAGTTGCCAGTTTATAACCACGTCCCTTCATCTTGGTGGATCCTAGTGAATCCAGTATTGGTGCCACTAATGTCTTCGTCTACGTATTAGAACAAATTGTTATTATCTTTGTCAAAGGTTATTAATCGTTCGAAGGTCATACATAGAAAAGTCTCTGGCATAAAGTATGCCTTTTTTAACTACCTTTGTATATATCTAAAAAGAATATCCGAAAAGACACGACAAGGTCGCATAAGCGACCGACAATTCTTGTATATCTTGCTCTACAGGGGCACCATATTTCCAACACATCTATGAGCTCAAAGACCTCTTCATCCAGTGATAGACACGCCATCGAAGCGTTTTCCAGGTCGAAACTGGGTTGTTCTACCCAACAGATGCTGAGGCATGTATAGTACGTATTATATGTCTACGCATGTTCTGCAGCTAACGAGTCATCGTGTTTGGTGGGATATAAGCGCAGTTTATATAGATGGACTTGTGATTAATTCACGTTGTGATGAGATGCACAATTAAGTGAATCACTAGACTAGTAAATTGATGAACGCCCGCTATAAATCCGGGGTCGATCGGGCAGTGGATAAGCCTCAATCGCGAGGCTCTTCTACAGTTACCGGTGAGTACACTACCAATTTCCCTTAGATAGTAAAAATTATTAATAGATATTATTTCTGCGAAAAGTTTCAGGGGGCTAATAGGGCCATTGGGTAAAATAATATGGGGGCCAAGGGGGCCAGAGGCAGTGTTGATTGCAATAGGAGCGCAGCTCTGCTCAAGTCATAACCCCCTCTTCCACACTCATTCATCTTTCAACCAACTCCGCTGTTTATTCCCTTCATTCTAAGCCTTTTAAAAAAAATGTCTATCCATTTCCCTACGGAATTCGATGACGAATATTGGACAACATCAAAATGGCTGCGAGTGGCGTGTATAGCCGCCAGCTTCCCCTCACCCCTCTACTTGGTGAGCGTAGGAGCATCGTGGGGGTTTTTCCTGCTTGTGGTAATGACCTCTTTTCGAATTGGCTGAAATTCTTGACCAGCTAATATTATGTAGAACTTCTTCCCATTGGTTTGGGCCTCAGTTCATCTTGTCCTGCTCCGCAGAGGAGTCATCTTTCATCCGCTGTTCAATGCCTCTCTTGATATTCTCTCAATCGCAGTCTATCTTCGCATTGTGCTCTTTTTAGGTCCCGGATTGGGCGAATATATCTACAAGATCATCACGGGTCCTTTTATGCTGGGAGCTATGTACGGTCGCCACATCCTCCTGATTTGATTACGCCTCTGCTTACTGATTATATGCAGATACTGTTTCGGTGTATTATGCCTCCGCGAAGTAATGCGGTTCCGGCGATCTGTGCGCGGCTATGTCCAGGGCGGTATTATTCTTGCCTAGTCAAGTGAGGCGACAAATTGTTCGGTGGGAATTGCAATCATGGGATGATTGCTGTTGAGGTCGATTTGCGAATTTATTTCTTAAGATTCTTGATTGGCGATGTTACATATATCATGATACCACGGTTGCTCAAAATAGTCTGGTATAAATCATTAAAAGAAATGTAAAATTTAAGATGGAGTCATATGTCTAGCACCAAGAGAAATATAATCGTCAACAGTAGCTCCAACCACCGGAGAAAACAAATACAAATAGTCACCAACAAGTTTTGCTGTCACAGGTATCTTGGTAAGCTCAAAGCGTCACTTAGATCTGCAAAGCAGCGACGACGATGGCGCCGAGAACAACTGCGACACCGGAGACGGTAGAACGTCCAGCAGCGTTGAAAGGGACAGGGCTGGGTGTAGCAGTGACCCAGGTACCGGTGGTAGAACCAGCGGTAGTGATAGGAGTAACATGGTGCAGGGAAGAAGTCTTAGCACCAGCAGAAGTAGCAGCGGCGCAGACCGAGGTAGCAGTGCAGACAGTCTTGGTGCGAGTAACAGTCACGGTAATTGCAGAGGAAGCTCTGGCGGAAGAGGAGCGTCCAGCAGCGACACTGGAAGGACTAGGGCTGCCAGAAGAGACAGGGGACACGGGGGAGACACCAACAGCAGAGGACGAAGGGGCACTGGTGACAGCAGGGGCGACCCAGGGAGCAGTGGTGGCAGCCGCCAAGGTGGGAATGGAAGATCCAATCACAGAGGTAGCAGCAGGGATGGTGGAAGCTGCGGAGGACGAGATGGATCCATCTTGGCAATCAGCCTCACCCAGAACAGCTAGGCATAGGTTGATAGGAATGTTGATCAGGCCACCGTTGGAGTCAGAGCTCTGGTTGCAGTGGGCCTCGCCGAGGACAGCCAGGCAGACGTTGATCGGAACGTTGATCAAGGACTCGCTGTCGCTGCTGGCAGAAGTGGCCTGGTCACACTTGGCCTGGCCAAGAGCAGCCACACAGGCGTTAACGGGGACGTTGATGAGGCCGTTGGTGGTGCTCTGCTGCTTGCACTCGGCATCTCCAAGGATGCCAGCACAGAGACCGACGGGGAGGCTGATCAAGCTCTCAGTGGCCTGGACACCCTATGCACAGACATAGAATATTAGCTTCATATCCAGGGATAATCCGAAATAGTGGAGGTTCCACTTACGGAGCAAGAGGCGGCAAGGGCCATAAGGGAAGTGATAATAGATTGCTTCATATTGTCGGAATAAACGTGGAAATTATACGTTAAGTATTAAGAGAAAGTAGCGTGATTGATAATTGATCAAAGTGATAAAAGAACGGACGCTGATAGCAGCAAAAAAGAGTGGACGCGAGAGAACTCACAAAGAGAGTAGCAACTTGAGCAGATGAAGGTATGATAAAAGGAAGATCACCCAGAGGTGGGCAAAGGGCCTTATACATGCTAAAATACCAGCCAGAGCACGCCCATTTTTAGTCAGGAGGGAAGTGTCGATCTGCACGGCAAAACACTGGCAAGCTGAAAAAAAATGGACCTCGACCAAGACTAGAGTTGGCCATTAGTTGTCCATAGGTCTCTCATTGGTGTGCCCCTATTATATGGGGTGTTCGCACGCTGCCGTGTATAAGGCTAACCTGTAACTAATCGTAACTAATCTCATAACAACATGCCCTAACCTGATAATACCCCGATGATCAAACTCTATATGCACTAGCTCCACTATAGTTCCTTTTCCGAGCCGCGCTGCTCTTTCCATTCCTTTGATCTTTCGCTTACACCTGACTCGACTAGGATCACATTATGCTTTGACTGTACGTAGTGGGGAGGAATAGACCTAGAATACGGAGTATCGACGGTAGCTAGACTTATAAGCAGCCTCATAAGACCTTGAGGAGAAATTATTCCAAGGTTGGAACTTTACATATTTCGCTCCAGGAGGAGGGATTGGTGTCTCTTTTGTATATATTGGCACTTAGCGTTCGTAGGCACAATTCTCGCGGACAACCCTGCCGGCGGGGGAGGGGGGGTTGCGCTTGAGCTTAGGGTATATTTTCATCTTATCAATCACCTTTGCGGTGGCACTAAAGGTCCGAAGGCTCTTAAGAAGACCTATCAGACTTTATTTGGTCAATTTAAGGCATTTCCTAAGGGCTACTTTGTACATAGTTAGAATATCTTAAGGGAATATAACGCCGCAGGATTCGCTAATCGGGAGTGGATCAACTGATGGTGGTTCTTCCTACGTCATGTCCACACTTGTCCTTCTCTACAATGCTGTATATGTTGTATGGATTTTTATTGAACCTGTTGTATCGTTGTATATTCTTCTTTTTCTGAAGCTCATTTTTGCTTATTGATATGGGCTTCAGGTGTGTCATTTCGACTTCCAAGTTATCCATTTATAGGGTGATGTAAAATCTCGGGCGAGACTGGGAGTAATACATTCATAGATATAAAATATTTGACTAATTAATCACTATAATAGCCATTATGACCGACGGAGTACGGAGTACGGAGTACAACATAATCCTTGTGTTACCTAAATGCAGTACCCTGCATTTCCAACCCCGGTGAAGCCCTGATACGCCCATTTATGCTTATCGCATGAGTCATCCGATCTGCCCCGATGAACTCGATAAGGCGATTCAGCTCTCGTGACACTTCAGAATGACCCCTAGGGTTGTTCTCTCCAGTTCTTGCTTTTGTTCACTTACTTATTGCTTTCTCTTTCCAGATCTGCTCGCTCTATTAACTCTATTAGACTTAGAGTATACATCCTCTCTTATCTTGTTCGCCTCGGATTCGCTTATCGCCCTTACCCCATACTTTGATGTCCACGATCCTACACGCACTACTTAAGGCCTGTACCAAGCCACTATATCTATCAAAGATACTCCCATCGATAGACCATGTCTCTTCCGTTATTACAGAACCTCCTTTTTGGGACCCTTCCTGATCACTGTGAACCGACCTCCCCCTTCCTGACCGCTGTCTCCTCGCATCTCCACATCTGCATCCCCACTCCTCTCGCCGCGATCTCGTCCGTTCTTGGGACCCTCAGCATAGTCTCGTGGCTCTTCGCACAACTACCCCAGATTTATAAGAACTTCCAAGTGCAATCGACCTCAGGCTTATCGATATTTTTCTTGGTAATCTGGTGTCTTGGTGATGCAAGCAATCTCGTTGGGGCGCTATACACACGGCAGGCAGGGTGGCAGGTCGTAATTGCCAGTTACTATGTTTTTGTTGATATCACTCTGGTATTCCAGTTCTTCTGGTACACTCATTACAAAGCTCGCCAAAATGATTCGTACAGCAGCCCGTCACACTCGCATGACTCGGCTCCCCGAGACATCATTCAAGGCGTGCCTCCTCCAGGCGACTCAGACCATCAAACCCCGGCCCCCGTTAACATGGATAACAAGCACTCCGAGGCTAAGGATGTGAGTTTCCACGCCGGGTCAGTTGTTAACTCGACCCGTGGGCAAGCAGCTTCATATTCAAACGAGAAACTGAGCTCCTCGCGTCGATCCGTGAGGATGGGAAGCAGCGCACAGAGCCCGCCATTCGCACTACCCCGGACTATGCTCATGGCATCACTCCTCTGTGCCGTACTCGTCAACGCTGCTCCTACCGATAAGCCTCATCCACCCATTTCCGAGGCACCGCGGGAGGCCGTCTTCGAGGTCATCGGCCGCGTCTTCTCCTGGATGTCAACAATCCTGTATCTCGGCTCGCGCCCTCCGCAGCTATACAAGAACTATCAGCGCAAGAGCACCGAAGGCCTCTCCCCACTACTCTTCATGGCCGCATTCTGTGGGAACCTGTTCTACTCCAGCTCGTTACTCACAAACCCGAATGCTTGGTCTGATTTCTCTCCATACGGTGGCGGCGGCTGGGCCGATAGCCATGGCAATGACCGTTTGGAATGGATCGGACGCGCTACCCCGTTCTTCCTGGGTGCCTTTGGTGTATTGGGACTGGACGGGTTCATGGGGGTTCAGTTTCTTATGTATGGCGATGGTCCAGAGCATGAAGATGACGAAAGTTTCATCAGCGGCGAGGGGGATGACCCAAAGCGCGGTCGCGGTCGCTGGAGACATGTTCACGGCTGGATGCGCGGCTGGATCCCCTCTTCTTCACCTCGGAGGGAGTCACGGGAATCTTCGGTCCCGCAAGAGGGGCGAGCTCTGTTAGGCACAGAGCGCGGCCAATACGGCACTGTTTGATCGTGGCTGTTTATATGCGTCTCTCTTATTCTGTTTTTGTTTCTTGCCCACGTCTCTTGCGTCGGGTAGGTATGATATATATGATGTGATGAACTTCAGAGCTTTATTTTTGTCTTTTAGCATTTCTTTTGTCTTTTGTCATTCAGGTGCATTGTGTGTCATTATGTCATTGGGTACATTAAGGGTTTGCGTTCATTCGCTCTCTACCCGACCTGTTCTGTTTTCTGGGCGTTTTGGGGCTGGGTGGCATATATAGGGACAAACAGGCTGTCACCAAGGTTCGGTTGACAGCCTTTGATTCTGAGATGTCCTTTTTTTTTTCTTGTACAACGCGTTGTCTGAAATTCTCGGCATGTCTTGGATTTCTCGGTTACCGATGGGCCATAGCGCTTACAAGAATAAACCAAGCTATTGAAAGACCCATGCCATTTTAGGGAACACAAATTATAGCGCCGATCGGAAAGGGCATAAAACCGTAGCTAGACAGTCCGAGTCCTGGTTCGCTCCATTCAATTTCCTGTTTGAGGGAGCAATAATATGGCATCCAGCAATAGGGACATGCCAAGCCCTAAGTGGAAGAACAACAACCTCCAATCCCTCCATTCTAAGCGCTCATTTGACGTGTACTTGATCCCTAAATTAGGCCAGGCACGCTCATGCAGGAACCAATTGCTTTGTCTTAAACGAGACAATTGTCGCTTCAAATTGCCAGCTTATTATCCCCGGAGTGGAGCGCTACGCCACATGTCATGGCAACAAAGGTTTTGACCATAGCGCATCTTACTTTCCAACACTAGGAGCCTTGGGAGTCTTGGGGTAGATTGCAATGTAGAGAGGCTCCAGAATAAAAGCCCGCGATATCCTCATTTTTGGTAATCTCATTTGCTCATCCAAATTTACGGTTTCTTTTGACCCTTCGTGGTGTTTACTCACCTGTCCATTCGTTTAAATCCACTAGATTCTATACAAAAATGATCGCCCTAAGCCATTTAATGTGGCTTTCCCACATTCTTCCGGCCGTTGCACTCACTATCACCGTGCCTGCTCCAACGACTCCCTCTTCGGCTCCGCTCTCGGGTTGTAGTTCTGAGAACTTGATTAAGGATGTGGGTTTTGAGAGTATTGATCTCGACGATAGTGTGTGGACTGTCCTGCCGCCAAACGGCGGTGCCGCCCTTGATGGATACCTGTTCGTGTTCGCCCAACCATGTATACAGGCACAAGTTTCCTGTAGAGTACGAACTAACTCGCGTTTTGTGATAGGCATCTGGGTGCCGAAGCTATCCAATCGCAGACCCTGTTGACCCAGACGGTTACCGGCACCATTGCAGAAGAGAGTTATACTGTCTCTTTCGATCTCCGCCAGACAGCTGACTCAGGTGTTGACAGTCCAACTTGTGCAGTGAATCTCCTACTCAATGGTGCAGATGTTGGCACTAGCACTCTGACAGCTGGTTCCTGGAAGACCATCTCCAAACAATGGACAGCTGTTAGCTCAGAAGTCGACATGTTCATCCTAATTGATTGCCCCAATGTGACGATATCGGGCGCGACAGTGGATGTGACCAACATCTCGTTCGAAAAAAGCTGTGGTTCATCCACCTCAACCAGCATCTCGGTCCCTATCAAGACACCATCGGGCTCACCTGAGGCTACTAGCGCTCCGCTCGCTTCTTCTGTCTCCCCGCCTGGCCATCCCAGCTCTGAAGGATTGGGATCTTCATCGCACGTCTCCTTGGTCTCACCAAGTAGCACCGTAGACCGTATCACCTTCACAACTACTATCACCGGGCCGGCAAACCCCTCCTCCAGCAGTGCCATTGAGTCCTCAGCCTCAACCCCTGAGGCACCAGCATCTTCCGAGTCCACCGCGCTAACAACCCCTGCCTCCATGGAGCCCACTAGCTCCTCCCCAGCTGGAACCCCTACGCCGGATATGACTACCTCTACTATCTTCACCACCCGCACTGCTACTATCACAGCCTGTCCCTCGACTGTCACTAATTGCCCAGCTACCGACAAGACAACTCATATTACAACCGAAACTATCGTCATCTCAACCACCGTCTGCCCTGTTGAGGATGCAACCACCACTGCCGAGGGGTCCAGCCCTACCGGCCCATCTGGAAACGGCAACGACTATACAATCTCAACAATCCTTTCAACCAGAACCGTAACTCTAACCCAGTGCCCGGCAACAGTGACCGATTGCCCAGCCCACGACCAGACGACACACACCACGACAGAGACTGTCGTTGCCGGTACCACTTCGGTCCCCATCAACACCGCCATTACCACCACGGCACCCAGCGCAGTGCACACATCATCTATTCCAGTGCAAACAACGGCTATTGTCATTAGCACCGAGACAAACATCCCGACTGCGTACTCTGTTATCACCGTCACAGGCACCACTACTACCAATGGAGGGGTTGTTGGTGAGACTGGTGTTTCTCGCGTTGGTGGAAATGCATCTGGTTCAGGAGTATCGGCGGGCGAGGGCGAGAGTGAAAGTGAAGGCTCGACCAGCTCTAGCTCTAGCCCTAGCGTCTCCGCTGGTAACAACGCCAGCCACATCTCCAGCCTGCCCAGCATCACACGCACACGCATCAGCTCAGCTACACCTTCAAGCCTCGTCGGCATCCACTCAGCCACGGCCAAAGTTTCCTCCGTCACAGCCTCCTCTCCTACTAATGCAAGTGCAGGTGCAGGCACAGGCATAGGCATAGGTTCGGGTTCTACCACCGAAGGCAGCAACTCAGCAAGTGCATCACCTGTGTTCAATGGTGCTTCGTCCTCCACTGTCCCTGGCATCCTGTCTGCTCTTGGTGCTATTGCCGCTCTCGCGCTTTTCCTCTGAGTATACATATATCTTTCTCTTTACATGTTCCATATGGATTATAATGGATTTTGGTATGTTGTCGAGGATCGAGTCTAAACCACATAATACGTCCAGTAAAGCTTCTGTGTTTGCCCTCAAACTCCCATTTAATAGTAGATTTATGTTTTGTTTTGCAACATGTTTGAAATATTTGAAATACTTGCAGATTAATGACATTCCTCTTCTTATACTAAAGGCGTTTTTATGCGCCTGTCCAATTGGTAATTGGTTGCCTCTCAGTATTCTGTTCATTGGCGGGCTTGTCACGGCCCATTTAGAGGCAGTGTATTGAACCCTCCAACTTGCGAATCTTATTTTTTTTTATTCTTTCCTACGTTTGTAATTCAGACATGACCTGGACACCTGACGTAAAAGCACAAACGCTCAGCTGGGGGGGTAGCATAGTAGAATACCAATCACATTAACAGACCAGCCACCTATATACTTCAACTATACAATATAGGCATATGTAAGAATAACCCGAAACAGAAATTGCGAGAACCAAGAGATGATAGACCTCGATAATGACAAATGACATAGTGTCCCCGAGGTCATTAGTCGATTAATCTTGTACAACATATGTATTTGTGCCTCTTATTCGCCTCCCCCGCCCCCAGAAAACAAGGAGGGGTGCTTTGCCGCCGAGTTTTCCGATTTCTCCCTTAGTTTACGGGATTTGAGGGGGAAATTACAGTTTGGGGTTTTTCCTATGTTGTATTTGAATCATATAGTGCAGCTAGGACATATGGAGATGTTCTGTTTCAGGGAAAAAGCTGCCGAATGTAGCCGGTCGGGCATCGTTGGTCCTGTTATCCGGTTTTTTTCCTTCTTTTTTTTTGTGTGTTCTGTAGGCTGAGCTTTTAGCGCATTTATTATCTATATCATAATCATCGCATCCGTAGTGCAAGGTATGTAGGCAGGTACTATATGTACATTTAGGTCGTGGTACCTTGAAACAATCGGAAGAACTGCATCGAAAATGGAGCATGGCAAGGCACGAGGTCCGAGGGACTTTGTGATTTTCTAGAATGTATTAGTACGCACGGTCTTCGGTGCCTGTTGTATTTAAGTATTTTAAGTATTTAAAGATTAATAATGTCTTTCTAGACCCCTCTCAGGGAAAAAAGGCTCAATATATATGCGGGACTTTTTTTTGGTAGAAGATGTATGCGCCTTTTAAGCAGATAGGCACATAAATATAGAAGGGCTGTCAGCTCAGATAAATACCTGTCAAGACACTTGTTTTTGCCTCCAAGAGCATGTACATGGACGGAGCACTTTATGTACACCTGGCCATGCATCATCACGCTACTCCGTATTAGGATGCAGGCTGCAGGGATCAACACCCATGTCCTTGAGGGTGGAGTTGTCTACGGTGAGTCAGAGCCCCGGTGCCTCCCTAGGTGGCCAGTTAAACTGTGTCTGACATGTCAGAGGGACTAAAGAAAAGAGGTAGGGAGAATGCTAGATGGAGTGGTTGTCAGATGGATGGTCTCGGTTGCCCTTGCTTGGTTGTACGGGGTAATGGGCGTGTGTGATTGCATATCGAGGGATACTAAGAGGAAATGACCCGACGACAGCTGTAAGGATGTTAGTTTGTTGGTTATAGCGCCTATTTTGTATATACTCCATACCCTGTAGCTGTACTCCGTACATAATTTGGAGTACGTTTGTTGGGGAGTGGGTATGGAAGAACACTTCCGCAGGTAGTACGTAGGGGGGGTTTTGTAGACTGAGCAACGGAGGGAATGCGGCATTCGATGTTTACAATGTATTTCTGTTTTATGTAGATATAATAATGGTACTCCGTAGTCATTTAATAATATAGGACATTTAATTACTACATTTCACTATTCAATCTTTTTAAAACGTACTCTTGGAATTGAAATATAACTGGGCTTACTAAGAGCCCTGGCCCGGAAGGTCTTTTTTTAGTTTTTTTTAGGTTTTTCTTTTTTTTTTTTTTTTGCTAAAGCTGAATACAATACCAGAGAAAACCAGTGAGAACCAGTGACACGGGGGTTGCATCACCGGGTTTGCCTTAAGGGTCTAGGGCCCTTTTTCTTTACTACGATGGACAACCTTACAGTGCAATTACAGTACAATTACACTGCATATAGTACAATATCTGCACTGTGCACGTTCCAAGCTATCAGGGAAACACCGGATAGAATTTTATAGTGAACAAGAAAAAGAAAGAAAAAAAAAAAGAGTAAGGTGAGAATCAAGGAAGTCCAATAAGAATTGAGTATAATACATATTTACATTATTTCTACATTGTAGGAGCCTATTAACTAAGTAGTTAATTTATTTGATACGTAGTACAAGTACTAGAGACACAATGTGCGAAACACTTTTTTTTCTTTAAATTTAGAATTTCCATATGTGGACCGAGTGACTCCTTCCCTGTATCACAAATACAGGTAAAATTACCGGGGCAACCCAACGGCCTTTTCCCACACAACGCCCCTATACACTTTTCTTCTCTTCATCCTTCTTCTCAACCTCTTTTCTGTATCAACCTTCTCCCGTGTCAACGAGCTTTTCACTAAGTGTCGTTGATCACCTCATTCTGTGAGGTTTGCGTCTACGTGTGGGGAAATTTTTTTTCTTCCACCGGTGCTCTTCATTCTCCCAGCGCGTTCAGTTCACTCTACGTGGGCTCTTCCGCTTCGCTTCGACCTGGTTATTCGCCTCTCAAAGCACTTTTGAATTGACTGGGTTGTGATCTATCACCTTCCCTCCCAGGCTGCGTCATTTCGACACTCCAAGAGAGGATTGTGTATTGTTCACCCGTTCATTACGCTCCTTCCAATTCTCATTTACCCTCATTTGTCCGTTGGATCATTGAACGCACCTCAATGTCATTCAATTAGAGACTGCCTCACAGGAATACGATAGAGCGATCCGCTTGCGAGCACCGCTCTTCTCTTCCCTCCCCCCCAGGATCAGGATCTGGTGGAGTAGACGGTTCGTCTCCTTGTTTCTTTAACTCTTGTCTCTCGGTCCATCTGGCTTTTGCCTATCCCGGAGGCCTTGTGTGCTGATTCCTCGCCTTTTCTGGCAATAGAATACGTCTAGCTCTCCGTCCTGAACTGGTTACTGCGCCTCCCCTTCTCAAGATGCCGTCCTTCTTCGTCCCAGGCCACCACGGCCTGCCTACGCCTCCCCATGTCAACGGTGGTCGTATGGAAGACCCATCATTCTACCCAGTTGGTCACGCAGGGTTTCCCTCCTCGCTACCACCAAAGCGGCAATGAGTTCATCGAACAGTACTCGCAGTCCCTGTGCTACGCCAAACCCACTTCGATGAATCTCCACCCCCAGTCCGCCCATCTGATGAACACTGCTCGCGATCATCACATGATGAACCAGCAGCCCATGTTCAACCCCATGGTTGGCACTGGATTGCCCTCAATCCGCAGCAACGTCCAACTTCCGCCCATGGATGCTACGATTCCGCCTCAATACCGTCGACAGGAAGCCGCCCCAATGCAACAGCAGCCCGAACAACCCCGTAAGGAGGAAAAGGCAACTGGAGGTGTTGCAGCTCACCTAGATTATGAGATGGATCGCATGTCCGACTTTGTGGCAGAGATGGCTCAGGGAATGTATGATTTGTTCGAGACCAACATCACCATCGCAGATATTGACCTTGTGCGAAGCATCTACCCAGGATCTTCGGTTCCCCCCCCAGTTTCGGAAATACGTCTTTCAGATTTTGTCCTCGACACGCCTCCCAAGTTCTACCATTCTGCTCGGTCTGTTCTACCTGGCCAGCCGTGTGCGCCTGTTGTCATCCAAACGCGCCTTCACCAAGACAGACAGTAGCCAGGTCTATCGCATGTTGACTGTGGCTCTTCTGTTGGGCAGCAAATTCCTCGATGACAATACCTTCCAGAATAAATCCTGGGCCGAGGTTAGCAACATCCCCGTTGCTGAGTTGAACCACATGGAATTGGAATGGCTTTTCGCGTTCGACTGGAAGATTCACGACCGCATCTACGACAAGCAGGATGGTTTCGCCTCGTGGCGCGCGCACTGGGATACCTGGCGGGCCAAGGCAACGGCTCGGGTTCAAGAGTCCCGCCAGACTCTGGCGCCTCTCGAGACCAACGTGACCCGCGGCCAGGCTGTCACCAAGCCCCTTATGTCCCCCGAAGGCCCCATCCCGCCGCAGTACCAGCGCAGCTCGCAAATTGAGAACTCCTGGCTCAACCCGACCGCGTCCGAATACTCGCCTCCCTCTACCCTTTCCAGCGGCCCCACTACCCCTGACTACTACTCAGTTGGCCCTTGGGGTTACGCCAACCCGCCTCCGCCTCCGCCCTACTCGCGAGGCTGGAACGCACCCTCACAGTACATGGCTCACCCTGCACCTCGATCCCAGCCCCCGTCCTACCACCACACTCCGGCGTACGGCCTGCCATTCGCACAGAGTCTTTGGACGGGTCATGGTTCGTCGTGCGGATGCACCTACTGTGCTAAGCATCTCGAGCACTACATGTGCAACAATGCATTCCCCTCTATGCAGCAGCCGATGATCGCAACCTAGTTGACGATATTTGGCATGTTCTGCTCACGACCCCGGATGGAACAGACGGTGTCAGCGGTTCAAGACCACAAGTCTTGATGCCTCTTTGAATTTCTTACTGCAACTCTAGACTTCTTTCAACCTTCGTTTGGGCGATTCGCATGGGATTCATTTCGATGCCGTTTCTTCTGATTGAATTGATTTCATCCTTGCGCGCCTTCGACCTTTTTGCCTCCTTTTGCTTTCACCTGCTTCTGAGCAATTGGCCTACCGCGTCTCCAAAAAGTACTTCTGTTCTGCGTCCGCTGGTTCTCGTTTGGCAAGGCGAAAAAAAATTCACAAAATGGAAAAAAAAAGGAAAAAAAACGCTCCCACAGCGAACATTGGCATGCTCCCGGCAAGCCCACGATGCAAAATCTCGACTTCACTTGTTATATTGATATGACTTCGATTTCATCGAGTCCTATATTGAATCTCATTGTTGGGTCTTTGATCTTTCACTCCCAAGGTTGCCGGCTCCGCAGTCACGACTATCACGAATCCCCAAAATTTGACTTCTTTGTTTATTACCCACGACTTCGGTTTATATCCTTGGTCCTTTTGTTTTATGCTTGGCATTTGTGTCTCGCGGTGATTACCCATAGAGTGCTTCCTTTCTTCTTTTCACTTCCATTTCATCTCGGTACATTATTCCCATTCGCCACGCTATATGCAGTGCCCGACGTTAATCTTTTTTTTTTTTTTTTTCAATTCTCATCTCAAATCTTCAATTACTCATTCACTTTTTTTTTTTTTTTTTTTCGATTCCTTCGATTTGGTTTTATCTTCCTCTGATCAAACTTTTTTCTCCAATCAATGAGATCAACAATTCAAGGAACCTTTCCAACCTTCTTAGCCGCATGATATAATTCATCGCTCCCACCTCTCTCTCGTCACCTGTGACACAAATGGCAAACGATTGGTCTTGGGGCCCCTTCTCTCCGTGGCATCTTCGCATGTATCCGGGAGATATCGATACCCTCGATGCATCTTCTGTCTAATCTCAAGAGTCCAGCCAATCCCCGTGACTGGTCCTGACCTTTTATGTAGTCTATCTGAATTTGGCTTGCTCTTTTGGTTTGCTTCCATATATCTGCATTTCACCATTCGGCGCTGCCGGCGAGCCAGGGCCGTCACATTTCCCGTCTCCATTGGTCATGCGTTGACCTGGATACTGGCGTCCGTGGTTGTGGCTATGGCTATGACTATTGACGCCCAGTTCTTTGAAGATATATCACTGAATTAGTGGCAAACCGTTGTCCTTGTCAGGGCTACACACCTTTGGTGTTTTGTCCTAAGACTTGTATCAATATCTCCCTCGTATCTTCTGTTTTGAGTAGTATCACCTATTAAAGTAGTAAGCCTCTGCTCTCTGTCTACTGCTAGTTTCAGCGACGTCTTGGGTTACTTGGCGGTTCCCTTTTGGATAGTTAATAAACCATAATTCAGATCTCGTAATAATTTTTGTAATAGAATTGGATTCTAGCCTGAAATAAGAGATAGATAAAAATGCAGTTGTACTAGGGGGTAATCAAAATTCATCCAGACAGTCGTCGCGGGTCGTAATAGTAGATGCAGAGAAGAAAGAAACAAGAACTAGCAAAGGAGAATGAGAAGTATGCAGAGGTATAAAGTAGTCAAGGCATCAAAGAAAGAAACCGGAACAGTATTAGTAGACGCTCCCTTGGATACTCTGGTCTTGCTTTTGTTGCTCTTCTAAGGATAGTTCCTCGATGTGGAGATGAGATGGGGAATCTGTTGACGAACTTTCTTGTCCTCCCATGTGTGTTTCGGAGTGGGTGGATGACTCATCTCCGTCACCTAGGATATTAGCCATGCGGTGTTCGGATTGGTCGGTAGAAGAAGAAACATGGTGGTGGTGATGATAGTGGTGGTGGTTATGGGGATGGTGCAGGCGAGTTTTCTTTAATTTCTCAGTGCGATTGCCACTCATCTCATCATCGCCGTCATCTTCATGCCCCTGAGAGGGAACTGGCTGTTGGGTTTGCTCGCTGGACGGAAATTCGAAGTGATGCTGGTTCGCATGGGATAAACTGCCAGTGGCGAGGCCAGGAGAGCGTGGTGCAGTGTGACGGTGGTGAGCGTGGTCGTCGCCTTCGTCGTCGGACGGGGCGAGGCTGTTCGCTCCGCTCATCGAGCCCCCACCGTCACGGCCGCCAAGGTGGAGGAGGGCGTACTTTAGATGCGCTGATGATGAAGATGTAGCTGTTGGTAGGTGGGGGAGATGGTCTTCACTATTTCGGTTCAGCCCGTGGAAGTTCGGTCGTTTTGGATGCAATGGATTCACGTTTGGCCGGGCTTCTGAGCTAGAATCATATTGCTTTGTGGTGTCCCCATTGTCATCGTCGCGAGGTTTGTGCTGCGGGTTGGAGACGTGCCTAGTGCTAGGTTTGTGGTTGGTATCATTCTGCGCCGAACTGTCTTCCGAGGACGATACTACATCGTCGATGGATATAGATTTGTGAAGTTTGGAGCCAAAATTGCCTACATGGTCATCGGCATGCTTTGGCTGAGCGTAGCCATGCTCGTGACGCATGGAATTCAGTAGACTCGCTCGCAACGACTGTTTCCCCTCTGCAGTCATGCCATGGGTACAGCCGTCGGGGCAGCCGCCCCACTTGCGTCGGATTGGGATATGGTCTGTGAGGCTATGACCAGCAGACGGGGCGGGCGCAGGGACTTGCTCTTTGGATGCATTTTCACGCTCTCGATCTTTCCGTAGGTCTGACCAGGTCCGAAGCTTGTTCTGAAGTGTGTATTTGCCGTTTTCTGGGTTGTGGGTTAAAATCAGGAACTCGCAATGATTGATGTTACGAAGGTCCTCAAAATATTCCACACTCCAGTGATACCACTTCATGAGAAATACTCGTGCCATGAGACCATGCGTAACCAGAACGCACACATTTGCAAAGTCATCCTCACCAAACTGGCGCCAGAGGGACTCGTTAAATCCACTCACTCGATCATAGGCATCTGCTGCGGATTCACCATTGGGAATCCGGTAGAAGAAATGACCATAGTCTGCCCGCTCCATCCACATGCGCTCCATCTCTGTGGAACATGGCTGGAAATTACCAAAATCTTGTTCCCGCAGCCGGGGTTCTTCATAAACTTTGATTGTGTGTCGTGAGAAGGGCGAAGGAGAGGGTGTATCGGAGGTTAGAGATTGAATAATTCCCTCAGTAGTCTCTCTTGTCCGCCGATAGGGGGAAGTAAAGAAGTGAAGTTTATCATCGGGTTGAAGGAGGTCACGTAGTCGATGGCCTGCATCTTGCGCTTGTCGATATCCTTCAGCAGTGAGCTTCACACGGTGGTCTGGAATAGTTTGATGAATGTCGCGGTTTTTGTTGCCTTCTGACTGTGCATGGCGGACTAAAATGATCATCTGTAAGTAGTAGAATGGTCAGCTTAAGCCAATATACATCTCAATCACCCAGAAATGAAGACTTACCCGTGGTTTCCCCATGGTGGAAGGGTCATGGGGAATGTAATGAGTTTCGAATGCGGGGGAGGGGCTAGTAGAAGTATCCTATTCGCAGCAAAAAGGACAACGACGGGGAAAAAAGAGAAAAGAAAAAAAGAACCGAAATATCCGTCTATCTAAAGCGGAAAACAGTCTGGAAGAAAGAAGTTCAAAAAGCAAAAGAAAAAGTTCATTCCAGTCGGAGATACAACTGACCCGCACGGGCCAACGGGGGTGATCCATTCAGCGAGCCTCTTTTACGCAACTTCCGAATAGCATCAACCCGCCATGGCCGACTTGTTGGAGCTACTTGCTCCACATCTAGATCCAACTCAATCGCATGATGTAACTACTGACAAGTATCTCACTCGCCTCTCAACCTTGTCACTCGAAGCTCTCCAAACCACAGAACCCCCATCGCTCGCCCAATCCTCCCACTCAACCCTTCTGTCCCTTCAAGCCCTATCGAACCGTTCGCACCGAGCATTTGTCACCTCTGCCGATAATTTGTCCACGCTGTGTACCTCTGTCCCACAGTTGACCCGCGAGGCGCAACAGCTACGCGATGCTATCCCTAAACTCGACGAGGAGGCCGTTGGGTTCTCCACCAAATACAGTAAAATCACAGACAATGCCGCACTAGAGCGACGGAAGAAAGCGATGCAGCTCTCTCGCAATGTCGATCGATTGTCGGATATCTTGGAACTCCCAAGTCTACTGTCCAAAGCCGTCTCCGCGGCCTCGGTCAACTCCGGTACCGGTGTCTCCTCTACAACTTACTCCTCTGCACTCGACCTACATGCACATATCAAGCGACTACAAACATTATACCCCGAATCATCATTGATTCAAGATGTTGCATCCCAGGCGGAGGATGCTATGAAGGACATGACAAGTAATCTGATCACGGGGCTTCGAACCCAGAACCTGCGGCTAGCAGCTGGTATCCGAACCGTGGGTTGGCTGCGGCGAGTAGCCCCGGATCTAGATATGATTCAGAGTGATGGGGCAGTCGGGACAGGAGAAGGCGCTTTTGGGGCCATCTTCCTGGTCTGCAGACTAGCGCATTTGGTATCAACACTTGAAGCCCTGGATCCTCTCCGCGAACTCGCGGACCAAGAAACCCAACGGAGACTCGGTGGCAAGGACAAGTCAGATACGACATCGTGGTCTGGTGGTCAGCAGACTGACCGCTACCTAAAAAGATACATTGAGATTTTCCGCGAGCAGAGCTTTGCAATTGTCTCGCTATACAAGAATATTTTTAACTCTGAGCAATCTGAATCGGAGTTTGCCATCTCAGGATTACGAGGTGCAGACGCCCACTCCAAGGCCAAGTCAAAGCCAGCACACTCAGATGACCCCTTGCAACGTCTCCCTCCGGCTTTGGCTACTTTCCCCATGCACCTCGTGCAATTGCTCACAGACACAATGCGCTCCTATCTTCCTAACGTCCGAGATCGGAGTTCAAGGGAAAGTCTTCTCACCCAGCTCTTGTACTGTGCCGCAAGTCTTGGTCGCCTTGGCGGTGACTTTGGCATGATTTTGACCGAGTTGGGCGAGGAGGAAGATACTGAAGATATGGCCTACGAATGGGAGGAGGTCATGCGCAAACACCGAGCTTTGGCAGGGCGTCTAGAGCAATTGACCAGTCGGGTGCCGGTAAATTAACATTCATATACCCAAGCGGAAGTACAATGCCTCTTCGAGATGGTGATAGCACCTGGCGGAGTCTGTGTATAATAGAGCATTATGAAGCGCTCTCATTTTCTGAACCTTCTCAGCGGACTGTCTAATTGATACCACCCGCCATACAAATACATTGATATATTGCATACCTCATTTGCCTCGAATGTTTCATCTATGCTAGCAGTACTTCCTCGCCGACTTGCCTACACACAGCGATATGTGTGCTTCTGTGCTTTGCTATCTGGATTCCAGTGAATTCTTATACTCTGCTGTTCGTCTTTGCATCTTTGACATCTATTTCCTGTGGGATGTTGTCGGTCATTATCACGTTGTGGTGGCAGAGGTGGTCTTGATCAGTAGCCTTCGAACTATGCGCCGATTTTTCTTGCCCTGATCATCCCCACTGCTGTTGCTGGGGCTATCTCTCACTGTAGTTGCCACCTCCAGATAGATAAATACACAGGTATACATGGCATGTATATTCATATGTAGCGCAGTTAGTTTGTTGTGAGAGCGTGAGATCGTGGGGGCGAGAGTATTTCTGGTCATGGTTTGCATGGCATTCTGAATCACACCGTGTGGGTTCGTTCAAGATATCCTCCCACAGACTATTGGAACAACAGAGGGACAGTAACTAGCGAAGAGGTTGGAGTCATCAAATTGTCTACTCCGTGCAAGGTAGCATCGGGCTAACAGTAGCGTTGCCCACAATTGGTTAGGCCTCCAGGGTCCATTTGCCGAGTGACTCACAAAGCTATTAAGGAGCCTTGCGAAGCTAGAATGCAAACCTATATAAAGTGAACATCTGGAATCTGTACGGAGTATAAGTATTCTAATTGAGACTCTACAATTGGTCTGAGTTGTGTGAAAATGGTTGTCCACTATAACCCGCTCACTAAAGAGCCCTATCTCCAACTCCCAGCACCATGCGCAAACATCATCATCACTCCATACCGTGAACACCAGATTGAGGAGACATCTGCTGTCATGACCGAGATACTCAATGATTCACGCGTGTACTCCTGGCTAATAGGGCCACCCTACCCTTTTCTGCCTGAGCACGGCGTGGACTGGGTCAAAATGAAAATAGCCGAGAATGAAAATATCCTGTCTACTCTGCAAAAAGAATTCGAAACATCGCAAAGTCAGCAGGGCGGTGGTTCAAATGGCAAAGAGGAACCAGAGTTCTTTGATAAATGTCCTTTCATTTGCATACGCGAAGTAACAGAAAGAGATTCTGCGACCGGCGCACCGCTTCGAGATGTCATGATAGGAGACATCTCATTCACGCGGTATGCTTTCTATGAGTTGCTACCTGATAGCCCAGAGCTTGCGCTGGCACAGAAGCAAAATAACGATTTGCCTGCGGGGCACAAGGATATCGTCTGGGGTATAGGATGTATGGACACCCCAATGCAACTCGAGCTCAATTGCTAACAGTGTTGACAGACTATCTTTCTCCCACTCAACACAGCCGAGGAGTCATGAGTGTTGCTGTTCGAACTCTCATTCAAGACTGGGGTATCCCTCGGATGAACCTTCATCTTCTTAAAAGCAGCTTTTTTGTTGGGAATACAGGGAGCTCGAGAGTACTTGAGAAGAACAACTTTGTGGAGATTGGTACATTCAAGGACTGGACTCCGGCAAGCCCAAACAAAGGACGAGGGAAGATGTCGATTGTTGTGGTGGAGTGGAAGGGGCTTTTGTAGATACTATCAAGCAATATCGGAACTTAGAATGCGTTGTTCAAGGCTCACCTCAGTTGTGCCATATTATAATTGTCGGGTTATACTCTGTACCAATTACAGAGTAATGGGACTAATGAAAAGTCGCCAAGTATTGCAAACTCAATAAATATGCATGGAGTTCGATGATCTTGCCGATCTCAATATCACGCAGCCAACCTCCCTATATCAGTGGAGAAACCAAGTGGTTCTATAGCGGATCTATTTCTTTCCGATGGAAGTACACACTCCGTGCTCCATATTTGTTGTATGGTACAATTCAGGGACAGAACACGGGAGAGAAGGGGCATTCATCGCAATCAATCCTGCACATGTAGGCCAGTTGACGTATCCAGTTGATGCATAAATGATCACATCGGTTAGCGTTAAGGTACTTGAGAGCAAATAGTGACCAAACCTGTAGGGCTTAAAAGCTAAATCTATTCCCTGGAGATTTGCAATTGGTCACGCAACTATCCGATCTCAGCTCTCGGCTTTTGTGAAGGAAATCATCTTCTGCAAGCCTGCCAAAGTGTGGGTCTCGAATATCATGGCCGAACAAATTCATACTTATGCCCTATCACCTGCATGTGTGATGCATAATTGATTGCTTTATATTACTCATTTACTCCTCTAGCTTCATCTTCGCCCGGATTGAGATGAAATTCAAATAAGGAGAAGTGAAATAATACGAATCAATGATTGCTGACAAGGGAATCACAAATTGCCGGGTTGGTAAAATGTGTATTATAATAACACGAGCCAGGAGGTTTTCTTGGCTGTCGGGAAGATTATTGAGCAAATCGATACTCCGTATGGAGTACTAGGTGCGAAGTATGGGGTACAGGGTACGAGGTTGTTTCTCATTTTCCTAAATAGGAAGTTATGCGGATCTGCCTGCATCTGCCTGCATATTTCTGTGGCTGATACGAGCTCAGCTCACACAGCTGACTTCTTCAGGTGCCCCATATTTCTCGTGTTGTTTGAATTGAATTAATTAAAATGGGCTATCCAATAAGCAATGATTGGAGTCAATTGTGTCTAGAGCATTCCGAGCTCAAATTGTCAATAAATACGACGTTTCATCACGTATCATTCACCTCCATCTTACTCAGGACCCTACGGTACCCCGTTAGGGTAATGGTAAGGGTATTCAGATGAGTTGTGCGAGGGATGGAGATGGATTGCGAAACTTTCAACACATTGTAGGCCATTCCATTCGACTCTGTACTACCCTGGGAGTATGATACGTTGAAGTTTCAGAAATGCCAGCCTAAAAATTGGGTAATGATACCCGGCCAGAGTAGCAAGGGGAAAAATACCGCCGATTGGAATGGAGCGAGCTCAAAGAGGCGCGTGGCTAACCCTATCAAGGGAAACAACCGGCCCTGTTTGCATAGCTTAGGTGCATGATTTGAATAGCGCTGTAGATCGCGAGATCTGAAGGTCAATCCTCCTTGGCATTTTGAAGTATATTAATCAGTCCGTGTCCTTTTTTCAGTCAGCACACAGGCATAGTTTATCAGGACATTTTTTTCCCATTCACCATGCATTTTTCAACTATAAGTGTGCTTCTTTCAGTTGCTCTAGCAGAAGCCGCGCCCTTCGTCACTCCTATCGGACATAAGACAAATAAGGTTAGCCCTAATACCCCATGTTTCGACTCCCCAGAGTTTAGAACATTCGATTCTCATACTTCTTAGGAGCCAGATTACCCAGAAAGATGCTATCCCGACCCCTGTAAAGGGGTGACCTACGTGAACTCTACTGCTGTTTGCGGTGACCCACGACTTGGTCCCAAGGACCTTCCTGCCTTTTCCCTCTCTCCAATGAGCTCGAGACATACTCCCGCTTCGGCGAGCTCTGTCCATTCGAGTTCCTAGAGAAATGGACCGTGAACGCTTCCGACCCAACGGCTTATTGGATCTATCCAGACTTCGACGGATTCGCCACAACATCCGAGAACGTGTCGATTCTAGGGAATATCACACTCAACGTGGGCCAGAAACTTGATAGGTTTGGATCTGAATATGGAAAGTTCCTAGCACCTCTTGGAGCCCCATATATTGAGCGATCCCTGCCACCATCCAATCTTTTCGCACCACCCGACAGCAACTTCCCATACAACTACCATGTGTACGAGGTGACCAAGGCATTTGATATTCTCCTGGGACCCATTGCGGGTTGGTTTGAGCAACCCGGATTTGGATCGCAGCTTTTGGCCCAGTCCAGTGTGCTAGATTTGTTGGAAGGGGGATTCTTGAAAAGACTGGAATTGAAAGACTATGATGAAGCCGATGAATTCTCTGCGGGTTATCAACCTGCTCCCGAGAAAACTTCCACCTAAGTACGTCTCAGGCATGGAATGGACAAGATGGAGGGTTATTTTCAGGACATCAAGTTCTCTTTCTCGCAGTATATGCTAGTTATAATTCCTTTTAATAACAAAATGCAATGTCACTAATAGCTTTTGAGAATTCATGCCTTATAACTATATGAAGAAAACGGAACCAGGCGAAAGCTCTAGCGTTCTAGAAGTACGTGGGCAGAAATCATGTACGAAAAAAACCCCATAAAAAACCATGGTACTTAGCTTTATCAAGCGCATAATAGCAATACAAGATTAGGATAAAATGTTTAGATATAATGGAAAGGCTTTCGAATATATTCCAATCGCCTAGCTCCTAATCTCATATCGGAATGGCATTACTGACTTTCCGATTTACTTTGACAGGGAATCCCAGCATGCTATTACTTGTTAGTCTGTATATCAAGCAGTAGCAGGGCAGCAAGACATACTCCTTTCCGGCTTGAGTGCAACCACAACCACAGAAGATCGATAGGGGATAGCAGAAGACCTAAAAAAAAAGTTGTCATGAGCCTGGAGTAAAGCAAGAGAGTCTTCATGCTGTCACCCAGGAAGATATTATATATACTTACTGCTGTTACAATAGTAGAGAGAAACCCTGTTCATTTCGTCAGGCATGGGCTCATTTCCCAGCGATTCAGACTACAAAAAACCGAACTTACCAAGTGTCGGGCCAACCACCTTGCAGTTACATGGGTTCTGATCAGTGCCACATTGGAAGCAGATAGGGAAGATCGGAAAGAAAGGGACGTCACACATCGTGTCGAATTTGGCTGAGCTGCTGGGGTTTGAACTAAAATATGTAGAGAAATGTCCCAGACAGATTATCTCGAAGAAAGAAGCTTCCCCGGACGGGATATTCACCGCCCAGTTACGTTGTAGTCGTGAGTTTGGGATTCTATCATGATGACGCAGATGAGATCAAGATTCATCGATCATCCTGTTTTAGGTAGTAGTGGAAAACTTTAGTTCATGTTGGGGTAATAGAAATGATCTTCATAGTGAGAACAAAGATAACAAGATTGTTATACAACATACATACATACATACACCTAGGTACGTTATACATATGTTGTATATTAAAACAATCTGATTAACTAAATCTGGTTAACTAGATCTGATTTTGGGCTAAAATTAACCTCAAAAATGCCACCAGGATCGGGCCGGGGCCTCCCGATAATAAAATTGACTCAGCAAGTGGTCAAGCCCTCCAGGGCTGGGGCTTGGAAGCCACATTCAGACTCAGCCACGATGCGTGTCATTTCCCCTCGAATCAAACGTCACTTTCGACTTTAAATTACCCATTAAAAACACAAAGAGGTCTCAAACCCCCCAGGTCTCAGGTTCACATATTCAGCCTTACCCCCCGCTGGAATTTCAACATTCCTGTTGTGCAAGAAATATCCAGGTCCACTCCAGGCAGCAACTATTTACAACAAGACACTTATTCTTGGCATATAGTCCATTGCTTTTTTGTCAGCCCCGTTTTCTTCCCCTGATTCTACCTTAATAGTCGGATCTTCGCCTCATCTTCCCCAAATTTGAAAATCTCGACTCACTAGACACCACCCTCCGATACCCCGATAAAGAAACCCCACCATGGGCGCCCGCAATCTCCTGCCCCTCATCCTGCTCCTCGTCTTTGTTGGTATCGTTGCCGCGGTCGGATTCATCGTCTACAGCATCGTACAGGATGTAGGCAGAAACACGCGCGAAAAGATGGAGCGCAAGAATATTGCCTTTACCAGGGACGGCATGAAAGTGCAAGTGAAGGAGGTCAAAGACGAGGCCTACAAGGACCGGACTCAGAGGTGTGTTTTTTTTCCCGCCCTAACTTGTTAGCGCCGACTGACCCGATGTTTTCCCCATAACTTAGCGTCCTCTACAACATGTGGAACCACACTTCCTTCCCCGCTTACAAGAGCCGACTGTGGGATATGGCTGGCGCGTCTTCGTCGGAGCAGAAGGATGCCGAGAAACGCAAGTAGTATGTCGGACCTGCATCCTTTTTTGATTATCATTCTGGTTCGACGGTCCTGACTCGTTCTGCCTCAGGCTTTGCAATGAACACATCACCGCTTGTGGTTTACACTGGACATATTTTATGCCTGTGTCCTCATTTCATATCACGTTCCATCGCATGTCCTAGTCCCTGGCAAAGGGCTGGTCCCCAAAACTGCGTTCACTCCTGCTTCGGATCTTCTTTGATATTTTCACATTCTTGTTTATACCTATTTTTTTATTGTCTCGGCAAAGGCTTTATATGAATGACGGCCATCCATTTCAAACCTGCGACCACTATGCGTCGTACATTCCAAATTCTGTTTCGTCAATCGACCCCGGAGCTCTAAACTCGACTCTGCTTTGAGATCGCGTCTGGTTTAAACGTTTAGTGTACTACATACCGATAAATCATGATTTGAGTTGCTGTTAATGACCAGATTGGATTCTCATGGCCCACTAGATAGTGCAGTAGGCATCGTTTCAATCCGTCGAACTGATATCGGGAGATCCGCATTTCTAGCCATGGACGAGACTGTCCATTGCATTGTCTTGCACGCACTTGATATTATTTTTAGTAACCGAGCTGACACTTGGATGGATATAGGGAGTGATTGACTTTATACGTAAATCCATCGACGATGTCCACTGCCACATCCCGAGGTCCTCACCAAGAACTCGTAATTTATAAAATATTCAAAATGAATAGATCTCTTTGATTTAATGCGTTATCCTTTAGTACAGATTAACTATAAGAACTAGAAGTTATCTTTATGTAAAACCTAAATAAAGCTATTAAACATAGCGTAATTTAAAAGTCAGGTTTTTGGCTATGTTTGCACTTTTTACAGTCCCATGGGAGAGTCCCGCCCAGGAACCCGACATTTGGCGGCTCTGCCATGTCAAATCTGAATTGGGCTTAGTTGCTTTTCTTTTACTCCAGCTTGGCACCCTCTATCAGTCTGTCACCTTTCTTCACGTTTCCTTCATTCCTTTTCATCACTGGCATCAAGTCTGTCTTGCCTTTCATCGTCACCTCTTCTTCCAGTTTGATCAGCCCTTCGTTTTCTTGTCTGCATCATACCGCCAGCATGTCAACCTTGAACAAGCCTGCTGAGCCCCCCATGATCCCCGAAAGAATATTGTCTCTCATGGCGCCTTCTCGTCAGTCAGCGCTACGGACTCACAAGCAAAGGTCTGTGAGTGCAGCATCCCGCCTTTCTAAGATGTCAGTTGGGTCGACAACATCCGATATTCTTGACATGAAACTCGCGGCAATGGAAAGTGAACTTGAGTACATGCGATGTGTCCGAGACGGCCTCAATGAAGCAAGACAGACTGAAAAGATCTCCCACGACGCCTTTCAGCGAGAAATCCAACCTTTCTTGAAGTCCTTCCGTTCGTCGTCATCAGCCATTCAATTGCTGAAGGCACAACGTCCATTGATTATCGAAGACATTAATGAAGAAGTTTCAGCGAAACGTCAGAGGATTGAAGGACCGGTTGACCAAAGCCTGCTCGAGCATGCTTACCGCGACGCTATAATCTCCCGTGTGCTGGGTGCAAGTGCAAAACAGAAGGGTCCCAAGTTTGATCAATCTGCGTTCAAGAAGGAGGTTTATGCATACTACGGTATCAATGAGCATTGTCACCCTGGCTTTGGGTGGTGTCATGTGTTGGGCACTGTACTTCCCCAAAATAATATCAAAGCTGCCCATCTTGTACCCAAATCTATGACATCCAAGGAAGTTTCCCACCTATTCGGAGTCAGTGCTGGAGTTCTTGATGACCCCCGCAATGGTAAGAATGTTCTCGTTGTGGCCAAGGAAATGACTGACTTATACAAATTAGGCATCACACTGGCAGACAATATTGAGCTACTTTTCGACCAAGGTACCATCGCGATTGTACCTATGCCTGGCCCAATGGAAAGTCCAACTCAATGGAGGTGTGTTGTCTTGGACGATTCAAAGAAGGAGAACATCATCGGTACCTTGGGTGGATCCTATATGAAACTGAAGGTCAGTATTGCAAAAGCTAGAGTTGAATATTATATTAATGATGTAATAGGATATTGACAACAAGGCATTGACGTTCGTTTCCGACAACCGTCCTCGCCGACGGTATTTGTACTTCTGTTTTATTATTGCGTATCTGAATGCAAAGAGCCGAGGAGCCAGTGACGCCGTTGCGAAAAAGGTTGAAGCCACGCGTTTTTGGCCCTCCGCCGGTGAGTACCTTAATCGGTCAACACTGGTTACATTAGACCGTTGTGTTTCAGGATCGGAACTCCCTAAATCCCTTGTTCAAGACCAGACATTTGACTCCGGTGATACTTCCACTCGTGACGCTGACGCTGGAACTGTGCTTGGAGCTGATGTTCGTGACGCAATTCTTGCCATGGGGAATCTCTAAATCATTGCTATGCTGCAGCCCTGGAGGACAAGCCACGGATGAGTCAAATTTGCTTTTTTCTTTTCTTTATTTTTACTTTCGCTTTTGCTTTTGTTCAGCAGCGACTATGATTATTGTATTCTTATTTCTCTATGGATGGATGTTTTCACTCCCTGTCAAAGGTTACTTCTAGAAATGTCGTTTTCACCGTGTAGCCTTTTTGTAGCCTGTATTAACGTCATCCTCGATTATTACTAAGCAATATAGTCATTATCACAACAAGCCCCCGCCATTGATCCAGCTGATAGACCCAGCTGTTTGATTTCGGCGACTGAAATGGCAATTGAATCAATAGCTGGTATCAAAACGGCCAGAATTTCCGCAATCACATGGGCGAAATCACTAAGTAGGGGCTTGGTTCAACCCCGCAATATGGTCTCACGAGTAAACCGGGCGAAAAGGGAGGGGACTTGAATTCAGCTGAAAGGGAGCCATTTTTGACCTCAAAAGCAGTCATTTTCGGCGTCAATTCCACGGGTCCTCATATTCTATTTGTAAAAGAACAAACTTATCTCACATTCTTCCAGTTGATATTTTTCTTACTGAGCGATTCAAAGATCGAGACTGCACAAGTAGCCCCAGTCATATTGTTCTAAAACCCAGCAGACTGATCAGTGTTATCGATAAAACCACAGGACGAACCCGAAGTTGCGAATTGGCGGTTGGGGTTAGTGGGACCCGGGTGCTCGGCGAACTACAAAGTAGGGTCAACAGTCAGTTATCTGCAATATAGTCAAGTTGAGACCAAAGGATGACCCACATATGAATCAAAGAAGGCGCAATTGTTTGCCAGCTCCACCAGAGTGGCGCTCTTCTTTTGGTTCAAGGGCTTGATCACGAATGACGAATCTCCAGGGGTAGCATTGTGCCTCTCCGATTGGCGCTCGATAAAACCACCCATGTTGGGGACATCTTCATTTGTCGGGTTCCACTGGCGGAAGATTTCGTAGGTGACTCCACCAAAGTTGTGGTCCGGGTGTTCTAGTGGCACTTCGGTTGCATACGGCTCGGCGCAGATTGTTAGTGGCTCCCCGTGGACTGTCCAATTGGGGTTTGTGTAGTCATTGCAATAGGTGAGATTGCGCAAATTGTCAATTTCAGTATGTAAATCCCAATAGCCGGGGATGACTGGCCAGAGCCATCAGAATAGCGAAGCCTCAGTGGAGAACCATAGTTACTATTACTCAATGCGAGACTATAAGACCCTTCGTAAACATGTGGTAAAAGAGAAAGAGTATAGAAGAAGTGAAAAAAAAATATGTTTATAACTATCTTCTTGCCATCTCTAATCTTCTACAGATAGATACCTGTACCATGGACACCTGCGGCCTGCCACAGAGTGCCTTGGAGGTGAAGGTCATGCTCAACAGGGTATGACTGTATCAGTGCTCCTCGCGGATTCAACATCCACACAGCAATAAAACTTATCACCGAACTGGGTATCTAGGTAATACAACCCTTGTTTATTTGGATTAAGATGACGCCCAAGAGGAACCGTGATGTGATATACCTGGTAAGTCATGTTAGAGAAAACAGAAGTACCCACAGCCCACGTGGAGGCTGTTAGAGAATCCTTTCTAGACGAATGTGACCAAATCTAAGCGAAATTGGGACTAAAATGTCTAGCAAATATTCCTCGAGGTTAATCCCTCTTAGGGCAATGGATATACGGCGTAGTTTATATTGGCACGTGAGCCGTGCGGAGTCCGTGGACAAAGACTCTGGATTAGAAATAACAATTTCTGATTGGTCTCCGACTTCAAGTTAAGCTGCGGGAGTCCCTCTCAGAGACCCACATAGACCCACACTGAAGCTGACCCTCCTCGAATCAGCATTGCACGTGCCCTGTCGCCAAGCACGTTGTCTTCTTGGGTCACTCGATAGGCTGTTGAGCAGTGGGACCTGATCACTTTCTTTATCAATATGTAAGGATGTAGGCATGGGAAGAACTCATGACCGCACCGCGTGCTCTAACTGGCTAATCTCGCATCCCTAGTTTTCACTTAAACATTCCCAAAGTCCCCATTCAAGGGATACTGCAAGGTTTCATTTCAGTCCTCAATCCCTCCGATCTCACTTATGTCAATCGATTCCTTGACCGGCCTGATGTCGAGTTATATGCCCCTCTCCGATCGCAGTCCTTCTTCGGAGGATGAAAAGGACGTTCGTTCTCAACTTCGACCGGATGTCGAGGCTGGGAAAAACACAAACAGTCACAATGACTCGGAGCGAAAGTCTTCCCGCTTCATTGACGGTCGCACCGTGTCCGATGCCATCATCGGTCTTTCCGACGGCATGACTGTGCCTTTCGCCCTAACTGCTGGACTATCTGCATTGGGTGATACCAAAATCGTTGTTTTCGGTGGACTCGCAGAACTCATCGCAGGAGCTATATCGATGGGACTCGGTGGGTATCTAGGTGCTAAAAGCGAGGAGTAAGTCTACCTAGATCCTGGATCCTACTACTCATGAAATTCCGCTAGAAGAGATCCTAGAGGTTCGATAACTGACATGTTTGTAGGGAGTCATATAAAGCCACATTAAAAGAGACTCGAACACAGACTATGACGGACCCCGCATCTGTGTCTGACACCATCTCCGACATTTTCGAGCCCTACGAGTTGCCTTTTGAACTGGTCGCACAACTCAAAAATCATCTATCTAACTCTCCTATGCTTCCATCTTTCCTCATGAACTTCCACCACACTCTGCCCGAACCCTCAGGCTCACGAGCTATCATTTGTGCTTTCACAATCGCCCTAGGGTACTTTGTCGGTGGATTTATTCCTCTCATACCATACTTTTTCGTTGGACCCCATGAAGCCTTCGTCGCCCTACGGTGGTCCATTGCTACCATGGTCATTGCGCTGTTTATCTTCGGATATGTAAAGACGTGCTTTGTCAGTGGCTGGCGTGGTCGTCGGAATATCCGCAAGGGTGTCATTGGAGGTATACAAATGGTACTGGTTGGCGGTATCGCCGCTGGTTCTGCAATGGGGCTGGTGAAGGGCTTCCAGATGCTGGCTGATGCCCATGAAGACCACCATTAGCATGACTGAATGGCCACTGAGGCCTCTTTACTTTTCACGGTGTTGGCGCTGGGCAGCTTTTTAATTTTCTCGGTTTATGGCGATACATCGGATGGCGTCTGGGTTTACTTCTTGATTTGCGAACTGCAAACTAAAATCGAATCAGGGATTTGATTCGCCTATCTAATGGCTGCTTTCCTCTCAGTCAAAGATTCTAGCAACAATACAGCGGTTATTAAAGCAGAGATATTGTTTCACTACGAGATCGTTAGTCCTAAGATCACCAAAATGCCTCCCTGCATAACACAAAGGTTATCAACCATCAGAAAGCAGAGCTTCGCATATATTTCTGCTATGGTGGCATGCCGAAAAAGCCAAGTCGCTGAGCCCTTTTGCGGTGGCTATGCCTTTGGACAAGGCGCATTCATCAACGTGACACTCTTCGGCGCCTTCTCCACGTACTCCCCCAAGCGCCTTTGCATAATCAACTACATAACAGGTGGTCAATCAGGCATAACAAGGCATAATATATACTGCAGCAATAATTATAGACTCGGTCTAGTGGCTCCTACGATTCCGACTTCTTCGGGTACCTGATGCAATAGCATGGAAATATCAATTGTTTCGAAATAGAATGCACAAGACCTTAATAAATATCAGGGTAACCTGATCACACATAAGGGAGGAGAACACCCTATGCCAGCCCTTCCTGCTTCCCATGAAGCAAATCTTTCTGCTTCTTGTACCTCGTATCTTTACTGTTCACTATCGCTTCTTTTTCCAATGCCTCTAGAAGATCTAGGACGTAGTCTTGGCAGTTCCAACCTCGAATCTCATTGTGGACAGTGACTTGGCTAGCGACAGTCTTGATGGAGTTTAGTTCGGCGGCGTCCACGTCATATAGGGGAAGCAACTCCACTAGTCTTTCCGATCGTCGAACATCTCTTGTTTCCAGTTCATAGCGGAATCTGCCATCCGAGCCCGCTACCTGGAGGAAAATTTTGTCTTCTTCTCGGGGTGCATCGATGAAAATACCCCAGTGCTTGTAAACGCCGTCGCTGATGCTGATGGCGACATAAATTGAAACTGCCGACGACATATTGAATGCAATGAATGGCCAAGTAATTCTGGGGGTTTTTAGAAACTTGCACAAAGGCAGTGTTCCTCGGCAGTGCTCACTCTAATATGATAAGGTTAGTGATTATGAGCTTTTGAACTGGAGTGAAAAAGAAGATAATGTTGCAGTCACAATATATATCTCACAATATATAATCCTAGGATAAGCGCCGAACATGATGCACAAACCTCTAGTATTCTCTTTTTTAGTCTTGGTCACTATGTCATATCCAATGAATGGCGAGAGAAGCGCTTAGCTGAATAATCAGTGTTTCTTCCAGTTCACGAATACCAGCGCATGTACGGAGTAGTGAGCCTATACTTGGCATAGCACACGACTACGAGAATATAGACTCTCTGAATCTTTGCAACTTCCTTATGTCTCGAAGAATGATGTAAAAATAGGTAAAATGCACGATGTAGTCAATGTTCCCCACTGACCGCATTGGGTTTGCGGGGATGTAATATGATAGCCTGGTAGGATCGACGACGCAGAAACGTCGATCGCGGTATTTCGTATCAAATAAGCACGGGGGTGTCAAACGGAAATTAAAAGCCATCAACATATGTCTGAAATATAAGCCTGTGCAATGCCAAGGGCTCATCCACATATCTTGACAACGAAGCGATGAGTTAGGTGACCTCACCGAGTATTCATCGAAGAAGTAGCATCATAGGGATATCTTACATTCTTGGCCTGCACCAACATCCCTATGAGGCTTAGTAGCAAGGCGAACAAGACCTCCTTTCCAAGGTTCCAAGGTTACAGCTTGACTTCATATATGTGGCGCAGTTACTACACATCAGCCTTGCATCACTTCTAAGCCTGACAACCCACTCTAGGCAGCCACCCCCAGATACGAATACGAACACGTCGCTGTTCAATGGAAAAATGAATACATCGTAAACTACAATATCGTAATAATAAGCCTCGGGATACCTACAGTTTACAGAGTAACAGCTGCCTATATTATAAAATGCCTAGGGAGCTTTGACGCTGGATTGGAGATGAAGTCAAGATGTGATTGGCTACGGTCGCGCGACACTTGAATTCTGAAACGCATGTGCACCAGAGTCAAGGGGTGGAAAGCATATTCAACCTTAGCTGTGCCGTCTTTTGTTGTGCAATTTCTTTTTACGGCAAAGACGTTGTACTCCATACACTGGTTGTTGTCTAAATGAGGAGGCTGGTATCCCCTATGGAGTAGAGGGGCTATCCGTTATCCCCTGGCGGTAGGGCATTATTACATGATAGGCTGCACATCCTCATATACGCGCTGGCCCCATGTAAGACGGCCCCAATAGTGTCAGACTTATGTGTTTCTTCTAGGTAACAGGGTTAGCTTGTCAAACCGGGGCTCTCGAGTGTCCATCGTGTGTGGCTCAACTGCATAACCGGGGGCTGAGTCTCCTTGATGCCAATGCATACTACAATATACGGAGTATAGCATCTACGGATAGCGGAGTAAACGTTGGCTGTTGCCGACAGCCTTAATACGAGGAGGTACAACATAGCTATTCCTGTAGCTAGCGCTGTACGGAGTAGCTAGTGTTGTTTTAAATCACCAGGACGACAGTTGAGCAAGATGCTAAAAGCGTGCATAAGCGAAATTAGATAGTTTTAATGGGGTATAATACCGAAACAGCACTATGGGGGCAAGGGAGAAGGAACCAATCAAAATCCTACGATGGATCTTATATGGAAAATTTGCGAAAATTTGCGTCCCAGCTGTAATTTTGGAACCTCGGGACCGTCTTTAGCAATACTACTACATATGTACGGTGTACTCCGTACGCCGTACATATGTATAATTTATACATAATTTAATTGAGGTTTTAAGGTATCCAAAGTCGTTAGGTGAATTCAATATAGCGTGATGTTATACCAATATATCGCATATAAGTTAATACAAATTGTAGACAAAGATTCTCGGGAGTCTCGGAGTCATCTGCATAAGAAGAATAACATGTCGGACCATAGGCATAACAAAGTCCGAGATATGCCCAGAAATGTGATCTCCGTTGCTTCCGTGGCTTCCGAGTTAAATTCTCAGACCGGATGTCCAGGACTGTATGCATTATTAAATACTGCCGAGGGCTCCGGTCAGAATTGGAATAGAAATGAAATGAAATGGATACCTAGAAATAGTTATATCGAATATCGAATATACTTCAATTTGTCTTCGTACCTGAAAAATGGAAAAAGATTAAAAAAAATGTACTAAACTAAAACCGACTAGTGACGCCATAGACAGGTCAAATAATACATAATCCCGTACTCCGTACTGAGTACTACAGCACGGATGTAATCATACCGGGAAAAATTACAAAAACTTAGATATGGGTCAATACCCAAAAAATACCAATACAATACTTCAAGTTCCCATGGATGAAATCCAGCTCTTTTCCTCCCTCTTCCCATCTCTCTTCTTTAATTCTTAATATCTCCGTTTCAGGGCTTCAAGTGGTTTCCTTGGTTTTCTCGAGTTCTGTTTATCCTGGGTCTTATAGGTTGTGCCCTTTTCTCCTTGCATCCCGACCCTTGTCAACGTGACCTCCTGAGTTCCCTGGGACTCACGCCCCTCGGCCCTATCCTTCGCCTTCCTATCGGCCCAACTCAACTTTTTATGAGCCTCTCTTCTGGCCAACGATAAACCTCTTTTCCGTTACGCGACCTCCTTCCGTCTCGTCCCGCGGCATTCCTTGAAGTCTCAACCATCCCTTTTCCAAACTGATCCGGACTCTCCTACAGGAGAGTCGCCGCGAATATGAGCGCTTCCTATCCGTCATGGAAAGATCGCACCCAGAATCAGTTTGGAAAGCTTCAGATCCAAGTGCCATGGCGCTCATTCCAGCTCTTGGTGCCACATCGCATGCGTCGCAAGCTCCGGTCCAAACTCCGGAGCCGCCTCTCGCCCACCTCGTCCATATCGAGGCTGCAAACCTCATTCTCGCCTGTGGACACCCTTAGATCCTTACAGACACACCGATGGACGTTGTATGACTTCCAATACTTGTTGCTCCTCATCATCGGCTTTTTCTCCTTGACGATCATCCAGTCTCCTGGTCCACTGGGAAAGACCGCGATCGCCACCGGACTCTTGTGCTCCCTCCTCATGCCAATCACCCGGCAATTCTTTTTGCCTTTCCTCCCCGTTGCTGGATGGCTTATCTTCTTCTATGGATGCCAGTAAGTTTTGCTTCCTGTTAGGTTTCCTGCAGATGCGCCTGCCATGGCCTCATGGCATGAGCAGGATGTGCGGGGGTTTGAACATTGCTGACGTGTGTTTTTCTAGATTCGTTCCAAGCGATTGGCGGCCTGCCATTTGGGTCCGAGTGCTACCAGCCATGGAAAACATCCTGTACGGTGCCAACATCAGCAACATTCTATCCGCCCATCAAAATGTGGTGCTTGACATTCTGGCATGGATTCCTTACGGACTCTGCCACTACGGAGCGCCATTCGTCGTTTCACTGATCCTTTTCTTCTTCGGCCCACCCGGAACTACCCCTCTGTATGCCCGGACTCTCGGATACATCAGCATGATCGCCGTCTTCATTCAGCTGGCTTTCCCCTGCTCACCACCCTGGTATGAAAATCTGTACGGGTTGGCCCCAGCCGACTACTCTATGCAGGGAAACCCGGCTGGTCTTGCTCGGATTGACAAGCTGCTGGGTATTGATCTTTACACTTCGGGCTTCAAACAGTCCCCTGTTGTTTTCGGTGCATTCCCTTCGCTCCATGCTGCGGACTCCACCCTGGCAGCACTGTTCATGAGCCACGTCTTCCCGCGGTTGAAGCCCCTCTGGGTTACCTACACTCTGTGGATGTGGTGGGCTACCATGTATCTTTCCCACCACTACGCAGTCGATCTGGTCTGCGGTGGTCTACTTGCCACGGTCGCCTTCTACTTTGCCAAGACCCGGTTCCTTCCCCGAGTACAGGCCGACAAGATGTTCCGCTGGGACTACGACTACGTCGAGATCGGTGACTCTTCTCGCGACTTCGGGTATGATCTCGCCAGCTTGGATGGTGATTTCAACTTGGACAGCGACGAGTGGACCGTGGGCTCTTCTTCGTCTGTTTCCTCGGGCTCTCTGAGCCCCGTGGACGATCATTACACCTGGGAAAGCGAGACTCTCACCTCGAATCACGACATCGAGGCTGGACGCTAATCCTTGAGCTTCACTGGCACATGTCGCTTGGCGCTGTGCATTCTTGCATCTTCTGCTTTTGAATCGGCGTTATGTTTGACGACAATGTTTGGGAACATTATCTGCATTGAGCAATCTTCAACACCCTAAGGTTTTTAATAAAACCTCAGTTCGTACGGTACTTCCGCCTCGAGCTGATGGTACTCTTCACCTTCTGGCTGTACATGCCTCACCACCCCACTTTGGGCTGGTAACTCCGTCTATAATATTAATACCGGTGGCGGAAGGGAACAGGCCTCGTTCACCTGCCTGCATTCGCCAATCCCCCGCCCAGCCACCGTTGGCAACCTTCGCTTGTACACATTCTCGGACGCTCTCGAGCGATCCTTTATTTTTCTGACCCATGTCTTTCGCTACGACTTTATGAACTGGGCGAGCCACATTTTTTGCTTTCGGCTCGTCTAGATGAACAAATATTTTTACCATTCGTGTCGCTCGCTCATCATAGGCGCCTGGGAACTCGAACCTGTTTTTTTTCTGGTGATATGAAAAGTTTCGGCGCTTTTTGCTGCACCACCACTCGCTGTGCACTTGAAGGATTTTTGAATACTGGCTGTTTTTATGACATTTTGCATCGGCACATGAAAGGGGGGTTTTCAAAAAGATTGTCTCGATCTACCCTCCGTTTGTGTCTACGTCGCCTGGCAGGTGATTAACTGGCGTCGACAGAGTGGATACTTGTCGTGTTAATTCAACATGACAAGATCCGAGGAAAGGGACACTGAAAACTGGAGCTCTCGTTTTTAGAGCTCAAGTAACCATGGCAGCTAGGGTGAACGGGATTTTGGTACTTTTGACGGATGCCATCTCCCTACCCTCGAGCTTCGCCCATTCTCTTCGCTTCTGGCTATCAAAGTTGAAGCAGATCCGACAACCTAATGCATTTGCGCCTCCCGCAACACCTCCTCGTTGGGTCGTGTGCATGCCTCTTATCGTTACTTTGGGGGAGGAGTGAGATCCTGTTGGGTATTGCTAGCATTATTTTTAATCACTAGCGTATGAATGAATCATTGTACATTATTTACATTTCTTGGTTTTTGTCATTGTACATAGTAAACGTATCTGGTATACAACATTTAACTTAGCCTCTATTCGAACCTTCATCCCCAAGTCTAACATGAGCACTGGCAACCCCGCCAATCCACGGGTGTGATAAGGACTATCCACACAGTGGACGGGACATGGCGTGGTCCTTGCTTCTCGCATGGGCCAATAGTCCAGCTCTGTCGATCACACGGGATCAGCTGATGCTAGCTTGCATACGTCCCTATTTTATGGCTAGGTATGAAGCAGTATCCGCGCTGATCCGCGATACGAAGAGGTGGCTAGAATTTTATGTATTCCGTATGGACCTTGTTAACATGCTTTGTTTGGGTATTTCAGTATTATAAACTATAACCGGGCCAATACATGTTGTCATAGAAAGGAATGAGTTCATATAAGGGTTTATCATAACGAAATGTACAAAAATGCTGGCTCATAAGCAAAAACCCCCATCCGTCTAGAAAAAAAAATCCCAGATGTCTAAAAGCGAGGTATATGTGTATCAAAATGCCAGCCAAATCAAAGAACAATTATTCAGAACAGTCATAAAGGACCCTCCCAATTCGATCTATTCATCGTCGAAGATTTGTACACGATCCGCATACTCGCGGATTTTGGAGACGAAAGTCTCTTCGATTAAATCGCCTTTGCCGCCAGCGACACGGAGAAGAAGGTCATTGAGAGAGGCACGGCCTAGGATATCCACGTGGTCGCCTATACGAAGTTAGTCGCCTGTCACATGTCGGAAAAAGTAGATAAGGGAGTAAAGAAGCACATACCAGTGTTGGGACCACCGCGCGGGGAGAAACGATCCGGCTCGTGTGGCATCTCAAAGACCTTGATCTTTGTGCCGGCTGGGTTATAACGCTTCATGCGCCAACCTTTGGCGCACATGTAGCCTGTACTAAGCAGATTCACGGTGCCGTCGCCCTCACCCATTAAAACGCCGTGGTCGACGCCCTCGTTGTTTGTGAGGGTGGTGTCCATGCTGACCTTGAGGTTGACCAGTGGGTCGGGCTCTTCCTGGTAGAAGTAGCTGCGCTCTGTGGGTTTGCCCACGCCATAGAAGCAATATATCTTCATATCTGGGGCGAGGGGTAGACGCGATTCTAGAGGGTTGAGCCAGGTGCGCGGGTCTTTCTCGTTGGCTTCGACTTCTCGTTTCGTGTGGGCGATACCGTGGGAGTAGCTATTCAGGACTTGATTCCGGTACCAATCCTCGCCCTGGTCCAGGAGGTACTGAAGGCTCTCTGTCGTAGTGAGATTGTGCCGGGTCAAGGATGAGTTGTTCTCCTGGAAACGAAGCAGGTTGCCAAAAGTCAGGGGCTGACCTGGTTGGTCATCCGGCGCCCAGGTTGAGTTTCCCCATATGGCCTCGCCACCTTTTGGTAGCATGCTGGAGATACCAGGCATCGCGCGGAAGATCTCCGCGCGTTCCCCTTTCGATAGGAACTTTTCCAGTCCATACACAGCAAAGGCGTTCAGCTGCGCTGTATCCCGCATTTCGCCGGACAAAACGGCAGTCAATCCCTTGACGGCGCCAAGCATGCAGCCGCTGATGTTGACCCACGAGTCGATATGTTTGTTAACCCAGTCTTTACCACCATTTCCATGCTCCTCACTCTCTACCCACTTGAAGAAATACAACACCACCTGAGATCCCATGCTGTGTGATGCCAATGTGATCTTCTCGCCCTGTACCTGAACTGCGGTCTCGATGTAGGACTTGAGTCGAGTGAAATATTTATCACGAACTTCGAGATTGAGATATGAGAGTCGCCAGTCGTATGCAGCCGTAAACGCATTGGTCGGATCATAGCCGATGGTAGCCAGGTTCTCGAGGATTTTATTCCATATCCAATACCCGGTGATAAAGAAATCCGTGGCATCGAATCCTTGCGCCGCACGGAGCTTAATGCCAGGTGGGTCCAGGCCTGTATCCTGATCGAGCATAACATGGTTCTTCCACTCAGCTTTATCCATGACCAAAGCTCTCATCATGCTCCAGCTGCCCCATAATCGTCGGCGGAAGTATTGTCGCGAGCTTTCCCCCGTACCCCAACTCTCTAAGCCAGTCGAGATAACTCCGGGGATCATCACAACGGGGTGTTTGGCCTCTACGCCCATTGAGCGAAGATGCAGCCCAACAGCAAAGGAATCATAGCTGACGGTATCGCGTTCATGTTGCTATGTCCCAGTTGGAAGTTAGTCGGATGGTAACCAGATGTAGAGATAAGAGTACTCCCTTGGAAATCACGTACCGAGAATTCTTTCACATCACTTAAAATTCCCTGTGGGATGGCCTCAATCCATGAGTCGAGATTCAGGTCCATGAGGGAATCCAGGCTTATCACCTCCTGCTGGTTCGCGAAGAACAAGGCGACAAAGATCCCGAAGATCCCGCCCAGCATGAAGATGAAACCATTGCGACGTTTGCTCCGGGGCTTAATAACAAGCTGTGTGACTTTTGTATCAACAAACTCCGCATGAAGTTGTTCTTTCTCAGGCTTTGTAGGCTTTGTAGGCTTTGTAGGCTTTGTAGTGTTAGAGGGCGGGACCTCGTCCTTGCCCGTGCGGCGGCGGAGCATGGCGACCAACCCCAAGGGAGGCAGAAGAAGGAGAGGACCTGGTCGGTTTGCCTGGAGGACTAATGTCAAGAATAAAACCAACAAATTGGAAGCCAAAAAGTAAGAAACAAGAAGAGGAAGGGGATAAAAAACACGGGAGTGCATAAAGTCCGCGAACGGGCGGATCGGCATCACATGGCAGAGTTGACTTTCCTCCCCGACACATCCCACCCCCTCACCGTCAACTCCAACCATCGGCCCACTTCGATGACATCGCTGTAATGAGCAATGCTCCTGATCTTCGCTACGTGCGATATGAAAACTCGCGCGAAAATGAATATGTCGCCGCAATGCGCCAGCTGATCTCCAAAGATCTGTCCGAACCTTACAGCATCTACGTCTACCGCTACTTCCTATACCAATGGGGTGACCTGTGTTTCCTCGCGATGGATGATAAGGACGAGATGGTCGGGGTCGTGGTATCGAAGCTAGAACCACACCGCGACGGCCCGCTGAGGGGTTATATCGCCATGCTGGCCGTGCGCGAAGAGTACCGTGGCCGCGGAATTGCAACCAAGCTAGTGCGCATGGCTATCGATGCTATGATCGAGCGGGATGCAGATGAGGTAAGTCTACTTGGCGGGGATGGCTGTTGATCCCCAAACGGGGTGATCTTGAGGGTATGGTAGCTGACTCGTACGTGTGTTTGGGCAGATTGTCCTCGAAACCGAAATCACCAATACCGGCGCGATGAAACTGTACGAGCGATTGGGCTTCCTTCGTAGCAAACAGCTCCACCGATATTATTTGAATGGCAACTCGGCCTACCGGCTTGTGCTTTATCTCAAAGAAGGTGTTGGCGCGATTCGGACAGCACCTGTTGATCCCTATGGTCTTCCACCACCAGTACCTGGTCTACCTGACGCGTGTGGAGGACATTCTCATGCGAATATGGGGTCATTGATTTGATCTTTTTGGTTGTTAGCAACGCTATGAAGTTTTCCTCGTTGCTCTGTCAAGCTGTGTTGGCATGACATGTCATGATAATGTATGAGAAATGACCCAGAATAGATATACCTCACAGGAGCTGGTGTCCTTACGGAACTTGCATTGTATAGAAAGATTAGAAAAGCAAATTTTTTATATTTAATTTAGGATCAAGCCAAAAGATATTTGTGCAGATCCCGTTCCTTTTCTCTTATTTCATATCCCTTCGTTCCTAAATCATACACGCTATATAGTGCTGCTTCCGAGACTCTTTTTGGCCAATGAAGAAAACAAAGGGTGATCACATGCATAAACCTGCAGGCTTCAAAGCCATAAAGAAATGAGCCCCTTAGGCATCTCAATACCATAATTATCTGTTCCTTTTCCCCCTTTTGTAAACAAAATGCTTTTATACATCACTCCTCCATAACTCTTTGCTCATCACCATGTCCCGCCCCGGTGATTTCGATCACCTCTCCCGCACTAAGGTCTCTTCTGACAAGACTTTGCCTTTCCAGCTGTGGGTAATTGATGAGACGATTACCGAGGAATACTAGACAATGACCCAAGACGAGGCTGATGATAGTTTCGGCCTTCCACTTGCAACTATCAAGTTCCCTTGTCATAGTGCCGCTGACATTACCAAGAAGGGGTTCATGCGGATTTATATCCAAATCCCTATCACTGGAGCCGTCGCTTGCAGCCCTCGAGTCTGAGCACCTCAGGTTGTTACGCAGCGGAAGCACATAGAACTAGAAGCGCTCAAGAGTCTTACAGGATAGAAGTGTAAAGTGGTCTCCGAACTTCTTGGATGCCACGAAGGACAGCAGAGTGACGAAGGCTGCGTTCCGGGCAGTTACATTGACTATATCGTGTGAGATTCGATTGATTCGAAGGATTTCTGGGAGCGTGACCTCAAATACCGTGACGAAGTTCGCCAATTTCGCGCCGTGTATGAGTATGTCTATTACATCCCTTCTAACTATATATAGTGAGCTGTTCTTACGCATCCTGGGGCTTGTGTTTCAGATTTGGCGGTGTAAAATACGCAAACCCACTTTTCCACGTGAAACCGGACAAGAATACTCGGCCGCTTATGCGGCCTTGTCGTACTACAAGCACTGTTCTTAATTTTGCTAATTGGATAGCAGTTACTTTAGCTAAAGGTTTGTGTAAAATGAGGGGGAAGGAATGGCCCTGTACAAATATCATTTGGCTTGATCCTGAATTAGATATAAAGCATTTACTTTGCTAGCTCAAGCTATGCTCCAGGGCTGCTGCCTTAGCTATTATCGTGACCATCCTGTGATCTCTCTTCGAATATCTTCATCAGCACATTGTATAGCCGTTCGGCCCCTGGCATCTTTGACATTGAGATCCGCTCCTTCCCCAAGAAGATAATGAATGACATCGATTTTGCGAAGGAACACTGCCTTGTGAAGAGGAGTTTCTCCCATAAAGAAATACATGTCCCAAGAAGGCTGATGGTCTTGATACATGATACCATTAATCGGTGCGCCCTTAGAAATGAGGAGCTCCAGGACCTCCACTGCATCGGAGTCGCGAACAACTGCGTGGTGCAAAACCTGCCCTGTTGTAACATCGCCGCCACGATTGAGCAGAAGAGTGACGATTGGCAAAGAGGCGTGTTCAACAGCGTAGGACAGTGGCGTAAAATCAATGTTGCATCGACGGTTAGGATCAGCTCCGTGATCAAGGAGCCATGTTGTCATTTCAGGATCATCCAAGGCATTACTATCATATCGGGGGTTACAAGAAGGCAACTTTAGACATTGGCAGTTTGACTCACCTGAGAATCGGGGGATCCATTGCGCCCATCGGATGGTTGATATCCCACCCATTTTCAAACAAGATTTCCAGGATATCCTTTGCATTTACTTTTGTCTTGATAGCCTCATGTATATATGCTGGGAACAAGGGCACTTTATGACGGAGCAGCTCTTCGACAAGACAGGTTCTTCCCAGCTTGATGGCTCGGATCATCACTTCTGACAGATTGACTGTATTGGGATCATGTAAGCTATCACCAATAGAGCTGCTATTCAAAGTACTCTGAAATCTTTCAAGGTCGCCTTGGATACAAAAACGTTCCAAGTCTTGGAGTGCTTGGATAGGTGCATGTGATAGGACTGGGGGAGGTGTGATACTAGCTTTAGGGTAAGTTTGACAGGCAGAGTTTTCAATCATCATAAATTGAGCGTATTATTCACCATGAGTAGAAGCTATTAGAATAATAAATTGAGGGGAAGAAAGGGCTTGAGCTGAGAGCCTATGCAAGCTATACATTGCACACCGCTATAATGACTGTACGGAGTAGCCCAGACTAAAACCAAAGTGTTATTAGAAATATAAATAATAAAGCCAGCGTCACATTTCCCTTTGCATGAAGTTCGGATCTCCACATGTTTTTATCTCGGTATCCCGGTGGAGTTACGGAGTTATGTGAGGCTATCTGATTGTGAAATTGTGGATCCCGTGTCTTTCTTATATATAACTTGTGCCGAGGTCCCTCGTGTATATTTTAGATTCCAAAATATCCCATTCCCCATGGATTCAACAGCACTCAGACCCCTTCAAGGTCTGCCTGGGATAACAAAAGCAAATAAACAAGGCCGTCGACCCGGCAAAATAGCCTGCACAGCATGCCACGCCCGCAAAAAGCGATGCGACATCTCTCCGCCATATCACCAGTGCACGCACTGTCGCAAAGAAGATCAATGCTGCATCCCGCGAGATCCAATTGACAGGTATGTAAAACGATGAAAATAACGATACTACCAAGACTTACAAGAAACCGTTGGAAGACCTACTCGACGACGAATGTCCAATCGCAACCAGAACAGCCAGAAAGCTAGTAATAACCACGAAACCCGATTTCACGTCAATGGCTTTCTGCCAAGGGGAATCGATCACGAAATACCTCGGTGGAGTGCCGTGTATTCGTCCTATTCGGAGATGCGTCGGCTACTGCCTCCTCTCACTTCCACTTCCCCGTCCCCTTCGCCCGAGATGGAAGAGGACATTACACACAATCAAGCTACATCAGAGGAGAGAAAGCGGAATGCGTCTTCGTCAGGGATGGGATCTCCAAGGCGCTTCCAGTCTGATGTTCTATACAGAGATTGTGCGGAGCCGACTTCTTCTATAAAGGGGATCTGCATACCTGCTTCTCGGTCTCTATCTCGGTCTCCGTCTCCGGCGCCTGTAGACAAAAGGGTTGGGTCCGAGAAGGCGTTAGCCCGCGAAGCCGAGATGCATGGGAATCCTGCTTCAATGAGGGAAGTGAGAGTCCCAAATCGTGGGCACTCTGGCTCTGCCTATGATGTTTTCATGAATGATCTCGATGCATTGCTTAGATTTTGATGGTGCTTTAACTTAGACCGAAAGAGGAAGATGTATTCGCTCACGATTAGATGAATATATATATTTAGAAGCTGTTATTCTGGACATTGCAGTTCTATGATTCTATATTTTCAGATAATGTACAAGTATAAGATACAAGGAGACGGGCAAGTAGGCAGACTAGAGTACATAACACAAACACCGGCCAAAACAAGCCCGCCAGATGGGATATTCATGCAACACGCTAGCGTCAAAAAAAAGGTAGAAGAATCGAAGAATGCGCGAACGATGCAAACAGGGGAAGGATTGGGAGATTATTGGTTTTTATCTTTCTCTTGCTCTCGGTCTTTGTCTTTGCGGACGATGGGAACTTGAATGGCGTTCTGCATCTTCCAAGTCAGAGGCCGCGGCACACCACGCCATTCCTTATCCAAGATAGATGCTGCATCCAGCATAATCGGAGAAGGATGCTGGGGGGCGTAGCGGGTTGCACCAAGGATGAGATCCCGCTTAATGAGGGCATTGGCAAGGCGGATTTGGAGGTCACGCTTTTCACCTCTCGGCTTCCATCCGATGAGGTAGAGAATAGGATTGTGGCGGAACTCGGAGGGGATTTCGTCTAGGATGGAGTCTGGAAGCCTATAGCTTTCATGGTGCATGTCGATACCGATAATGACCTTGCCCGCGTCGGAACCCCACAAATCTTTGTCGAGTCTCGTGGGTTTACCAAAAGACGCATTGCGACATAAGGAAGTCAAGACAGCCTGTTTCATCTTGTAGGTTACGGATCGCTTCATGCAAGAATACCGCCATATGACGAGGCAGATATTGTACTGGCGGTGCCTGAATGCGGCCAAAAACAAATCCTCCCAATTCTGCGAGGTTACCTCGAACAAAGGGTGCTCGAAAAACCGGAGGGTATACTGCAAAGCGAGGTGGATGTTCGCGCCCAGGGCTTGCACAATATGGCTGAGCGGATAACTGTCAACGGTGAGGTTATTGTCGATGCAGATTTCCATGAGCTGGTCTATGGAATCGAAATCCTTCAATCGAGCGAGCACACTGAACATCTGGCCAACCACGGAAGGACTGAACCAATTTGCACCCCATGTATTGGTCATGAGGCCAATAAAGGAGCCTATATCCTTTCCACTGTCCAAATGCACTAAAAGCGAATCTTGGATTGTTTCCTGGAGTGCGCTGTGGATGGTGGAAAGGTTAGACATGTGACCACGCTGGACCATATGCTCAATGAGTTGGGCTTTTTCGCTAGGGTCAACTAGGGCACTGAGCAAAGCGAGCCATGTTTCTGGGTTCGGACGCATGTGTAACCGAGGCATCGTCCGCACGAAATGGCGGAAGACAGCCACATCCTGACGCCGCGCAGCAGCCCGCAGAAGGATGTTATATGTATCAGTGGTAGCCACATGCTCTGTGCATGAACACAAGGCCCGGGCAGTTTCAAGGAACTCGTGTCGACATAGGAATTCCAGAGCACTATTTAAGGCCGCAGTCGAGATGTAATTGGAGTATGTCTCTTCCATGAATAGCGCCTTCAGATGTAGTTTAATCCGGACTACGTGCGGAAGCTTTGATAGAGACATGGCCTTCTCATCGAGCGTCGGGTGCCTCGCAGATGTGACATCCTCGACGTGCTCGTTGAACTCCTTCACCGTGGCAATAACCGGACGAGGTAGTAGGATCTCGTCTAAATTCGAGCTGCTGTCGGACGATTCACCGAAATGCCAATTTCCACGAATCAACGGCACAGGCAGTTTCGAACGCTGCATTGCGCCTCGAGAAATGCACATCGGAACTGGTGGTTTGTGAATATCAACAAGGGGATCTCCCATAGCTTGTAGGTTCTGTGCACGGGTAAAATGCCCTTCCACCAGCGCCATAATATGGTCTGTGGCACTCAAAACGACTCGACGGAGTAATCCTTTGCTCTGACTTGCAGGTAGGATGTGCACACGACATCCATTATGGAGCGGGATGTACCAAATGTTATCTTTCAAGGTATAACGAGTCACACCAGAAAACAGAGCGAGGGTCTCCTCTGGTACAAGTATCTCCTTCTTGTTCAGACTCTTCTTGGAATTTTTCCGGACATCGTGTTGCACTTGGTCCAGAATCTCCCTAGTATCAAACCAAGCATTGTCGAAGAGCTTTGCTGAACGAGATTGATATTTTTTCTTCATATATTCGCGAAACCGCAACTTCTTCCGATCTCGAATCGATGTATTTCGTAAAAAGAGTTGTCGCTGCGTAGGAGACGAAGGTTTGGCGTTCAGGGGTTTATTGTGCAGTCGACCTTTCTGTATTCTCTTCGCTCTCGTCAACGCGAAGCCACGTAGTGGTTGTTGGGAAGTGGCGTGTTCGACATCTGCGAGGGAATTGACAGATTGCTTCTGACCCGTGGAGGGCCGACCTCCGCCACTTCCATTCAAACCATCGTCACCAATTTCCTCGCCTTTGCCTAGTTTGTGATGCTCTCCAACCACCACAGGGGGCGATTGCGGATTGGGATTGTCGGGAGACCGAGAGGAAGACTCAGAGGAAATCCATTGGCGCGAGCGTCGAGAAAGCGAAGGAGAGGGGCGGACTGCTGCGCGAAATTGGGCACCGGGAGTATCACCTATCCTCGCAGGAGCATCAATCGGTTTCAGGGAAGATATCCGTCGACGTTGCAAAGCAGGCGCAGCCCAGCGGGGATAGAGAAACAGAAGAGGCTCATCGGGGCCAGTCGCGACAGTGTCCAAGACGGCAGACAGACGCCTCCTTAGACACGGGCAGCCACGCAAGAGCATAAGGGACGATGCTCTAATGGCACCGGAGACATGAATGGAAAGGAGACAAGAGTTGAGCGCGTTGCTGTTTGAGGTGTTTTTCGATGGGCCTTTTTGCCCCGAAAATTGCTGGCCGCGGAACGGGTAGGCGGTGGCCGGAGCTTGGCTCTGCCGGATGAGCTGCTATACTTCGCCATTCTCTAGTTATATTCTCCACAATGATAATATGATAATATCTATTTCGCCTTTACAAAGGTGAATTTAATACATTAATAAATGTGACCTTCACGGTCAATCTCAGCAGCCTTGGGAATTCCCCTGAAAATCCGCCTCATCGACCTCGCACGTTCCTCCAAGACCGGCCGCTTAGCCATTAATGTATCCTGCTTGGCTACCGGAGTCAAGTCTAATAATCCCGTTCCCGACTCTCCATGGTCATCTTTAAAGATGTCCGGTCCAGTAACATGATGCTTGCAAGATTCCACGGCACGGGCGAGATTGTCTTTCTTGCGTTGGACTGCATCGGCGTCTTTATTGGAATCGGTGGGAGTTTTGGACAGCTCCCGAATGACATTAGAAAGATATGTTACGAATTGCCAGCGGGAGGTCTGGAATAGGAACATGGGCATTATGTCTGGTATCTGGTATCCGCCAAAGTAGAGTTAGCCCGGCCTCAGCATATAGATTAGGAAAACTTGTCCGGCTCACCTTGTCGTTCAGATAATAGAGCTCTTCGCCTCCTTGCTCAATAAATTTCTTCAATGCATCGATCTTCTCTCGATCAATGGAAGCTAACTTCAAAGCATGCATCAAACTGGGTATATCCCCAATTTCATCGACATGTGGCTCCTCATCAACCGTTATGCTCGGATGATTCAAGAAGCCGGATTCCACCCGGGACAGTCCCGCAGTACTCTGCTCCCGACCTCTGGCCTTGGAAGAATGAATAGTAAAATAGTCTTCAGTGAGCATATGAGATTTCTCAAAGTCCGGGCGACCAAGGTTCCGCCGTGCAAGGGCCTTAGTCCGTAGTCTCACCCACCGTCTTCTCCGAACAAACGAATGAAACCACGGCTGCGTACCATGCCACGAAGACGAGGAAAATGAAAAAGAGTACTGCCACCCTTGCTCATCGGTATCACCAGACATGTCAACATACCATGTCTTCCACGTCCATTCCCAGCTCGGATCAGGCAGCTGGGCATTCGTGATATCAACAGGACTGGCCCTGCGGTCCTGGGTCATCCAGGGACTGGGATCGAGGTTCAAAAGCGAGCTGTGCGAGTAACGTGGGACACCAAAAATGAACCAGCCCCGCTGGTTCTCGTAGAGAATGTCCATTTCCGAGCGCGATCTGGAGTCCTCCCGGCCGTTGGTTTGGTCTCCTGTTCCGTTCACCTGGCCGCTGCTGCTCCCATTATTAGTCGAGACTCGCGACGGAGCAAAGTCGGCGGTTTCAACATCTCTGCCCCCACTGCCTTCTCCGGCGGAGCTGGCTGAGATCGAGCCTCCGCGCACTTGGGACGATTCTCGGCTGAACGAGTCGTTTGTGTCGGGCGCGATACCAAGTCTGTCAGGTTGCCATTTTGCGTATTTCCGCTTTGTGAGCTGGCTTTGGACGGATGCACGGCTCAGGTGCTTCGTCAGGGTTCCCTGCTGATTGAGGGTGGATGTGCGCCGTGTAGCTCCTTCGCCGGTGGGTTGCTGTGGGACGGTATTATCCACAAGGGAAATCGAAGGCGAATTCTCCATGGGATGTGTGTGGGTATATTAAGGGATATTCTGGATAGTGTTGACGAACCCCAATGGCTCCTTAGCCTTATAGAATAGAGTATCACTGAGTATGCTGCACTCGCATGATCTCAAAGGGGTCGTATCACAGTGAAATGAGAGATAGAGTGATATAAGATGGAAGCGTAGAGCTGTAGGATATTTTGACAAAAGAAATAAACATAAGAGAACAAGTATAATAGAGAGCGTAAAGAGGAAAAAAAATAAACCTTTGAAAAGCAAGTCAATGCAACATCGATGACATCGTTTGCGGGGATGAATGCCAAGCCCATTTCTCCTGCAAATCGCGGGAACAGAAAAAACATCAACAACCACAATAGCCCACCATGGCAGCACCACACTATCGAAAAGTCGAGCTCCAATCTCCAGCAGACTTCACCTACCTCTACGCCAACACAGTCGCGCTATCGCGCCGAAAACTCGACCTCTACTTCCCCCTTCCGCAACAGACAATGACACCCCCGATCCGATGCGCGAACGCGTCCGGGAGCTAATCGACGAGGTGAGACCCCGCGAACAACATGTACATATATATATCTACACACCTCCAGACTCTAACCTCAAATAGTACATAAACGAAACCTTCGAATCCGCCTCAACGTCAATCAGCATCAACGGCATAGACTCCACCTCTCCACAATTCCCATTCCCGGCAGCATTCACCGCGCCAACAGAACAAGTCGAGTACGAGGCATACGATACAGAACTTGCGTCGCGTGTGACATCACTGTACGCGCAGCTGGAGTCGCTCAATACGACTGTTGCACAACAGAGACGGGATGCGCCGCGGCGTGCGGCGAAGGAATATGCCGCGCAGTTGAAAAAGATGATTGAAGAGGAGGAAGAGGAATATGAAAATGAAAATGAAGATGAGGTTGAAAATGGAGGAAAAGACGCCGATAATGATACAGAAATGGGCGAATCTGCGAATCTGCAACCCCAATCGAATAATGAAAACGAGAATACAACAGCTGGCCAAGAGACGGATGGTATGGATGTTGATTCTACCCCGAATGGAACTGGGTTGGTGCGCTCGCGGCGACCCCGTGGAAATCTCGACCCGGCGTGGACGTTGCGGGTTGCGCTCGGGACGGAGGAGGAGCAGGAGAGGTGGAAGAGTGGGGATATTGCCAATGTCTATGAGGATGCTTTGCGGATGCTGTTGCGGTTGCAGGGCGAGGGCAATGCTAATACAGAGGCTGGTGCGGAGGGTAATGCGTTGGCAACGACAGTTGGCAAGGCTGAGAGGGCTGGGCGTGCTGCTGAAGTGGTGGAGAATATGAATAAGTGAGAGCTTCTGAGGACTTTGGTGTGATTAGCGTTATATTCTCTATTGTGTGTTTTTTGTTTCTTAATGTTTGGGTGCTATTGCAATGCTGGGGGCGTTTCGGGGCTCTAGGCTTGCCCAAGGGATCATGATACCATGTCTTGTTTATTGTTGATGACTCTGTCGAGTCGACATTCGATTATCTTTCATTTCTTCAGACTAAACTCTGTTATCTTTATAGCGCACGCAAACATCGTTACTTTTCTACTGCTACTCACATACCACACAATATAAGCAACATAGACCCAAGTTGTGTCCTAGGCATGACATCTACCATTTCAATATGTACTACCAACAAAGAAACAACCAAGATAAACACCATCTTCACACCAGCTCGCTTTTAAATTTCATCACGTCCTGTCCCCTCTATGTTGAGAGCAGTGGCAGCACACGCTGCTTATCTTGATAGGCAAAAGCAAAAACAGAAGCAAGCTCTCCATGATATCTAGATCGGAACAAAAAAAGCAAAAACGCAAACAGCGAATGTAGAGAAAGGAGTCCACAGGCTGTGGATGGATCGGCGAAGAGGTGTTGAAACTACCAGAGAGAGATTCCGGTTCTGGGGGCGATTGGGGTGATGTTGGGGGTTATCGGAAACCCCCAGGTAATATTTTTTGAGGTTTTCGGGTTGATCGGGGTTGAAAAGAGTCCTCCAACATTCCTATCTGGGTGTCTGTTTTCAGTCGCCATGTAAAAGGATATCGTCGATCGGCTTGTTGGAGCTCCGCAAAGAGGACAAAGGAAAAGTCCTCAAGCCTAAGCACTAGTCTGAGCACCCTCCTGGCCCTCAGCATCCTTCTTCTCATTTCCGGTGTCCTCGTTCTGAACAACAGGCTCAGCAGCCGCCTTAGGGGCCTCCTCCTTAGGGGTAGCCCACTTAGGAGGACGAGCCCACTCAGCCTCCTTCCAGGGGCCGAAGTCGGAGAGCTCACAGCCACCGGCGCACTTGCAAGAGCCGCCGAATTCAACGGGCAAGTTCTCAGCGGGGACCTGGGCCAGAAGCTCCTTCTGGTATCCGCTGCCGAGAACGTGGATCTTGCTGACGGTGACGGGGTCAAGGAAGCCCTTGATGGCACCGAAGACGGTGCTGAAGCCCCACGGCGCGTTGATCAGGTAAAGCTTGCCCAGGCGTTCGGGGTAGTGGTTCTGCGAGATGTCGGAGGCCTGCTTGACGTACCCGTAGACGGATGGCACACTGGTGATGCCCACACCCTTCAGGTCCATAACGGTGCAGCAGGTCTCGAGGAGCTTGCCGGCCTTGCGCGAGCAAGCGGGCAGACGTGGGTCAGCCAGCTTCTCGTACTCAGACACCAAGTTCTGCAGCATGCGGTCGGCAGTGGTGATCTTGTACATCTGGTTCAGGTCGATCTTGCCCAGCTTCTCGATGTAGACAGGGCGGCCATCCTATTTGTTTGCGGAAGGATGTCAGTATTGCATCTGGAGACACGCGTATAGAAGTCACGGAAAACCAACCTTGTCGGTCTTGTGGTAGTACTGAGGGTAGAACTTGAAGACCTCCTCCTTCTCGGGGTAGTCGAAGTTGCGGGCGAGATCATCAGTGCCGAACTCCTTGCGCCACTTCTCACTTGCAATGAACCTGGGATATCATATTAGACTATAAGGCCTCGATAAAAGCTGAAAGCAAAAAAAGCCCGGAATAGAAAGCTTTCTGCCAACTCCTTAAACAAAAACATTCATGCCCTCCGGCGAGAATCGAGGAACGTACATAGTCTTGGCGGCCTCGACATCAAACTTGCGGGCGCGCAGGAACCGCAGGAGGGTCAGCGTATCCAAACGCTCAGTGTATCCGAGCTTTTCAAGCTCAGCGCGGAGCTGGTGCACCTTTGCATCCTGTTCGGGGGAGGTGTGGCCGGGGTGACCAGGCTGCGCTTCCGGAGCGGTGGTAGGGAAGTCGTACTGGTCGTACTTGGGGTCGGTAGGCAACTGGGATTCTGTGGCCGCCATTGTGATGGATGGGAGGTATATGGTCGAGGGGGAAGAGGAGAGTTGTTGTTCTGGAAAAAGGGCGGGAGGCGGAGGAGGGGGACTGGCGTAAGTGGCCACTTTAAGGTGAAAAAAAGGTCGGAGAGATCTTTGGGGATCGTCCAATGTTATTTTTTTATTGTTGAACCATAACAATAATAACATTCTGTCAAATCAGCTTTTAAAGATTTACAGGGGCTAGGCTACCGTCAATTTGCAAGTTGATGCTATATTGAGTTGTCATTAGGATCCAAAGGATCGACTATCTTGTATGTAGCATATAAAGGATGTATAGCACTTCCTATCTGGGTTTCCGACTCCAAATCTGTACAATTCTTTCTATTCGTTTTGAATATCCTCCTACATGTCCCAATAACCCTGGGCATACACATTAAGGAGAATTCACTCGAGAGAAAAAGGGGCAAGCGAGGGGCAAACGTGGCGGTGTCGAGGTGTCAGTGACGAATCCACTCTGCATGTCAGTGGACACCAGCATTTGACATATTTTGGCCTACGAGAGAAGACAATAGATATATCGGCATAGTTCACAGGTCCCGAAATGAATTGTAATATGCATAGGCACTCTGCAAAGAAATAAACCATTCACAACATAACATACGGGTATTCAATTCAAAACAGTTCAACATTCAGCACACATCGCAAACAGGCATTATTATACACAGCGCACGGAGACCGGAGAGGCCTGGGCGGTGATGGAAACACAGAGCAGAAAGACATGCCGGGGGATTATAGGACTCAGAGGCCCAATGAAACCGGAAAAAAAAAACAATTGGTAACAACTATGCGCTGGGTATAGACATTGAAAGGATGGGGAGACATTGGATAAGGCAAGGTATAATAGGAAAGGTGGCGGAAAGGACACAAAGGGATATACCAAAAATCACAGGATCATTGACATCCCCCGTACCAGCGGGGAAAGGGTCTTGATCATTCTCCATTAAGAGTATGTTCGTGTGTCAGCAACATTCACAACGGGCATTCGCCCGAACTGCATAGATGGGGAAAGCAGTCGTTGCATAGAGCAGTCATCCAAACCATTGTGTGGGATAGAAAGGCATGACATATATTGGAGTCCATCATCATCGCAAGATTAAGCGCCCGGGGCACTGTCGATCGTCGGGTAAAAAGAAAGAAAAAAAAAAGAGGACCTGACCAGGCAGAGCGTGTGGGGAGGCTATTCGACCTCTTCTCGAGCTCATCATTCATTAAAGGGTGGCAGACTTGAGGAAGCCTGGGGTATATAGCGCCTTTACCACCCCTTCTTTCGTGCAAATCGTTTGTTTAGGAGTGTAAGCACCTTGGTGACATTGAACTGGACATATTCCAGATCGAGATCCTCAAGGTTGTCCTTCTGCATCTCCAGGAGATCGTCCAGCTTGAGATCAAGCTCTAGTAATCCACGGGCTCGTCCTAAGCAATGCGTTAGTAATGATGTTCCTTTATCCCCGAGGATTAAATCTAAGAACTTACCCTTATAGTGCAGACTGATGACGAAGGTGCCTGGTAAGGGACTCTTGAACATAAAGTAGATGTTCGCCCGTCGGTTTTCTGGCACATTACTGCGTCGGATGACACCTTCTTTCTCCAGCTGCTGATGCGTGAACTTGTACGGGCCAAGTTCCTGGTTCTTTGGCGTCTTGCCAACGCGGGTTTTGCCCTCGGCCTGGCTACGCACGTTATGGAGGTAAGACTTGTATGTCTCCAGCTGACCGACCAAGTAGGCATTGTGGTCGCGGATAGTCGCGAAAACTTCCTCAAGCTTCCGTGTCTCCTCCAAAACCTTTTCCTTGAGGGATCCCAGGTGCACCAGCTCCTGCTCCACTTCATCACGAAGCAGACTGAACTCGTCGGAGCGGTCAATCACACCCATGTCTTGCAGTTGGCTAAGGAGTTCCATGGTTCGGATGCCCTTGCGCACCATCACGGCGTCGTTTTTCAAGGTTGCTGCAGCCTCAGCAATACGGTCGAGGCGTAGAGGTCGGCGTGCAACTGAGGTGTTCTGGGGCAGGGATCGTAGGATCTGGACGAAGGTGGACTTGGCCTCCATGAAGAACACTTCTTCCTGGGTAATATCGAGAGCAGCGGTCAAATCATCAAGAGCGGTCTCCCATTTACTGAACAAAGGCACGGTGATGGTTCGGTTCTCCTTGCGGGGAACCTGAGGGGGAGCACCACCCAATTCCTGGAGCAGGACAGACAGATGCGAGTATTGATCTTGGGCAAGCGCTGAACTGTGTTTCTCCAGAAGACCGTGCATGACGTACATTTCATTGAGAGTGATCTGGAGCTCAAGGTCCCGTTTCGACAAGGCCACGTAGTTGTCCATTTCAAGACTCTCATAGAAATCCTGGACTTCACACAAATCAAGTAGGAACTTGTTGACCCGTTTTTTGTTCTGCTGAATGAAGGGCTGCAGGCTGGCCATGTAAGGCTCCTTGGCGTAGGAAGGTTTGTTCGCCAGGTTCTGAATCATCTTGGCGATTAGCGTCAGGGTACGGCGAGGCTTATCCGTGGGCGTAGCATCGATCAGCATGTATGAGCGAGGTGTAACGATTGCCGGGTTGATGAAGCGTAGGAAGAAGAAACCACCAATCAGAGTGCAGATGGTTTGGTCCTGGGCATCGGGATACTTTCTGCGTGACAGACTGCGAATCTGCTTACAGATCCATCTAATACCATACGGAGCCTCGTCTACCGACTCGATGATGGTTGTGATGAATCCGTTCGCGATATCCGTCAACATCTTCAAACGTGGAGCAATGATGGCTTGCACCTGCGCATTGTCGGCCGCATCTTCGGCAGTCACAGATCGAGCCAGGTAATCCGGAAGAGAGCCGGTCTCTTCTTCGATCTGCTTAATCATGCTTTCGTAAACCTTCAAGGGGTTGATCTCCAGATCCACGTCCCGCAACTCAATCAGAGCGTTGATCTGGTCTGCCAGTACCTGCTTCAAATAACTC